TTCTGCAGACGTCGTGCTGCACTATGCATGGAGGGAGGTGTTACGGCCCGACTAGCAGTGCATGAATCGATCAGTGGCCATTCTTCTTACCGCTCCCCAAATCATAATCGCTCCCAAACGCCACAGGCTTGACGGGCTCAGATACTCACCGAGATCTTGGAAGCGCTTGTGTTTGGACTTCAGCCATGAGGTCAACCAATAAGCAATTCGAAATCAATTCGAAGTCAATTCGAAGTCTAGTAATGAGCATAGGTAATTCCAGAGAGCAACTCCTCCCCCTGAACTATTTGCATAGCATGTAGACTCAGCTTGCCCTCTTCGAGTGTTCGCACTGTCGCCAAGTTCACTCCGCGGCCTCTTGGCTCTTCCTGTACTAGCCCGGTCCTTCTCATCCGCCCCCTGGCACCATTAGTCAAAAGTCAGCTTCTAGTTGGCTCCTTCTCTTTCCTCGTGCCGGTGCAGCGGTCTGTACTCCAGCCCCGTTAGTTACTCAGAGGCCCAGCCGGCCCGCACTTCCCTCTCTCGGTCCGTGCCCAGTCCTCTCCGTCCTCCAGCCCGTTACTCAGCACGGCCCGGCCCGTGCGGCCCGTGTCGCCGCCCGCCGATAGGGACCGGCCGTTGACCCTGCGCCTGCACGCGTCTGCACCCTCCGCGCGCAGAGCGTGCCTTCTGCATGGCGGCGGCCCGCGTCCTTGTCCGTCTGAGGCGGCCGCATGCGCAACTCCCAGAGACGGTCGCGCTCGGTGCTCCGTTCCCGCAGCTGTAGTTCCGCCGTCCTGCCGCCTTCTGTCCGCCGTCCTACCGCCGTCCTGCCGCCTCCTGTCCGCCGTCCTGCCGCCTTGTGTCCCCCAACCATCCGCCGTCCTGCCGCCTTCTGTCCGCCACCCATTCGCCGTCCTGTCCCCCACCCATCCGCCGTCTTGCCGCCGTCCTGTCCCCCAACCATCCGCCGTCCTGCCGCCTCCTGTCGCCGCCGGTCCGCCGAGCGACCCGGTGTGAAACGCCGACACAGAACGGGTTATAGCTGCAACTCGCGGCTTGACCCATATCTGGACACGGGGAGGGCGGGCGCGGCGGGGCTGCAGGAGCTCCAGAGCTGCCAACTGGGTCAACGTGGTTTGTATGTTGCACCACGACCCGAGACAGCCGCGCGCAAGCTCCGATGAACATGTGCATGTACTTATAATGGTTCAGCTGTGCAATGATCATCATTTATGTAACTGCCTGCCCTGTAGTGAGCACAGTATTACTCTATCAGTAAAATCCATCATCATGATCCATCATGTTTATTTCTTAGCAGTAGCCAGTAGAGCATTTGACAGCGAAAAATAGCTCGATGGACCGAACCACTTTGTTTCAGGAGCGTTTGATTAGCATGCAACTTAGCGAGCGTGGCGTCTGATGGCGATCCTGCCACCGACACTTAGATGCGTGTAAGACAACGCATGGATCCTGAGCACCAGCCTTCGCTTTTCATTTTCGGTTGCACGCTTTGCACGGTTTGGTAACAGATTTGGCAGCGCATGAGCATGCAGCGGTAACAAGATTGTACGCTACATTCTGGCATTCCGCTAAAGAGAAAGTTGAGCTCGGCGTGGCGACGACCGATTCACATATGATCGCGATTCGCGATCTCTGGTGTCCATGATATGGGGGCGCCTATGGTCCACCGGCGAACTGTGTGACCAGCTGGACAGTACAAAAACCGCACTCATGGTTACTGAGTGGCGCTCTCGGGCCCAAATCGTGCTCATTGTAATGGGCTTGTCGGCTGAACACCAATCTCCGGATAGACGTTGTAATTGTGTGGGCACTGGTCTTCTTAGTGCTGCAGCAATGAATGTAAACATAACGGGAACATTTTTAAAAATGATTCTAACAAATGTGTCTTGCTTTTGTGCTTTTTTTCACATTTTGGTCAGAGAGTCGGTAGCAGCTTATGAAATCATGATAAATGGTTATCCGTTGCCAACTTTCAATGACAATGCTCCATGCTAATATAATTTTTTAAAGAAATTAACGCCTGGAAAAAGTGTTACGCTTAACGTTCCACACGCAAGAGGGATAAGGTTTACTTTTCACTTCCTCTTAATCACTGCGTGAAATTATCTTAGTTACAAAATGGGTGGATACTGAATATGTGTTTGGCCCTGAACCATTATTTCGCTGTCCTCATGAAGCAAGGTAGCATTCACCTCCGTGTTCACGAATAATATCTTTGAAGTTTTATTTTGATGCTCCATGACGGCACGGACAAAAAGTATTCGCATTTGCAAGCTACCGCGAGCAGGGTTGATCCCTAAAATAACTGCGAGAACGGAGAAAAGGCTATTGTTCCGGGCCGTATCGTGGAAAAAAAACGGACCACATCTCCAAGTGATGGAGACTATACCCAAGAGTGTTGGCTAGGAATAGGTATCACCGATCTATTACAGACTTTTGTGCAGCTGAGGTTGCTATGTAGAGCACTCTCGGTCATTTTGTTTTTTTTCAGCGAATAAGCTTCTCGGACTTTCCGAGCCTCTGAGTGTTTTGGAGTTCCACTGCCCATCGCTGGCCGGATGTCCATGATGGACCGGACGTCCGGGGTCGGCCGGATGTCCGGGCTCGGCCGGATGTCCGGGCTCGGCCGGATGTCCGGGGTAGGCCCTCGTCATCGCTCTGTTTCCGGCCCCGCCGTAAGGCTCGCGCTGCGCAGGTGCTGTCACCATCTCAGGCCGTCGCGGCAGCCTTTGGTGGCGCTGTTTTTGTGATCGAACTCTGCCACTTCTGGGCTGTAGGATGACGTCTCTGATATATGTCCGGCATTGTCGGGTACCGGCCGGGAGACGAGTTTCGTACGTTGTGATCAGTTTTGATCCTCGAACGTATACGTCACTGCAGGATGTTTTATCCTAGGCACAGTTGCGAAATAGCACACCAGTCTATTTTTAGGAATGATGTGATGCGATGTGCGTTTGTTAATTGTCTAATGATTGCGCAGAGCATCGTAAGAGCTGGGCGGTACTTGTTCTGTGATGCAACATATGTGGAGCACTTTTATAAAGGTAGGTGTTGCGTTTTACATTTTGGAGACAACGACTTAAACCGGCCATTTGCTACGTAGTTGTGTTTTTATAATTTGATCGATATTAGCCGTTTACACGACGGCCATCTGGTACACATTTGGTGCACATCTGGTACAGATTAGGTGCAGATTTGGTCAAATCAGGTTCAGTGTGTCTCTTAGCAGCTATCAGCTAGGGTTGCACTAATTGCTTATATGCCTGCTTTGTCATATTATCAGAGAGCATCATCGATTAAAACACTGAAATAAATTCATAAAATGAAGATATTTGCTGTAAAAGAAATTAGGTGCAGATTTGGTCAAATCAGGTGCATTCGCCGGATAGCCCGTCGTGAAAACGGCTATTTCTGTCTATCTCTTCGTGCATCCCCGGAAAACATCCAGCGGCTAGCTGTGTCTTAAACCGAACTGTTTTGCTGGGATGGTAGGAGTAAATACAAACTGCTCCGTCTCTCCTCTGATAAAAATTGGATGGATTTGGTAAATTGAAGTGGCATCAGATTAATATGATCTACGAAAACATTCGAGCGTGTTTAATTTGGCATCGTTGCTATCGCGCAAATGACAGATTAAATGCAAAGGAGACATTTAGACAGAATTGGGCCTAAATTGTAACAACCTTCTGACTTGTGGCTGGTTTAATTCCGATTAGAATTTGTCGGTTTTCGAAAGCTTTCAGTGATCTTTAACTACACTTGATTGCTCACATTATTTTCCCCCGAACAAAGATGGACAAATTTGTAAACCCGTAGTAGTCCTCTGCCCACACGATATTCTTCGTAAGGGCACTACGTAGCAAAACCAAATCACTACATACAATCTTGTGATATCAGGTGGCCTAAAACGTAAAAAGTTGCAAGACAGTTCTGATAATTTTTATTCTAGATTAGGATGGTGAGTGCCTTCGCTTGAATCGTAGCTTAGATACGTTGTCCATTGGGGGACGGCAATTTTTAGGTCATTGAAGGTCGCTGAACTTGTGTTAATTTGGACGGTACCTCTACTCATCTGAAATGTAAACATTGGGAAAACATATTAACATTTAGTGCTTTCTAAACATGTTTCAATTCCAGGTACAAGTGTAAAATTGCACTAATCCTTACTTGTTTCAAAAAAGCTACTAGCGCCATCAAACGTCATTTTGATGCGCTGATGAACTTATGAACTTAATTAATTTATTTAAGCTCACTTTATTTTTAAGTGAACTTTTAAGCTCACTTAAACTGGTAACAAAGCATACCATTCGATGCGCATTGACGTGTTCAGTTCACCTAAGCTTTTATCTTTGCTCTATCTTAATTAGATCAAAAGCTATAAACGAAGAACTTGTGACGTGTTTTAACGACATTTTTATGTTTATATCCCCAAAACCCCTTATATGTTGACCTAAAATCACCAAAGTTACACAGAGGCGAGATTTTATATAAGCCCATCTACCCTGTAAATTTTGTGTTTCGGAATGCCATAGGAGTCAATCACCAGGGGGTCGTACCAAACCCCCTGGCCACCCGCGTTATGAAAAAGGCCCTGGCCTGGCGAGGGCTAAATTTCGCATTTCAACTCGTCTACATAAGCAAAATCGACAAAAGTGATTTTTACTAGATGTAAAATTTCAAAGCATTATTGACCTTACGGCTTAGAAATGCATTTCGTCTGTAGTTCAATGCTCCGAAAAAAGACAATGAGTAGGTAACAATGAGCAAGCTGATTGCATGCGTTTCGTTTTGTTAATTGCTTGTTTTGAAAACCATTTATGATATTATGCAACAGCATAGGCTCCATTACTGATATAGAGCAGTCATGGCAAAATTATGCAAAATTAAATAAGTTTGGTGTGGCGCTCAAACACACACATAATAAGGATGTATGCATGTATGTACGTGTGTGACCAGCGGATTTTAAATGATCATGGCACGTGTTTTCCGGCGTCAAGATTCAAAGATACTCGCGACCGGCTCGAACGAGAGTTGGCGTTGCAGGTATGACGAGAATGGATGGTGTCGCCTGACCTTGGCCGAGCGGCGTCAGTCAGCGGCTGGCCGCCAGTGGGGAAGGTTGTGCGCCCGGGCGCGCTCTCGCTGTACGCCACAGGTCACCGTCAGCTCGCGCGCTCCGGCAGCCTGCAGTGTCTGTCCAGTCGGTCGGGCCGCTCACAGCGCCAGCGGCCGCTCAGTCAGCCCAGCCAGCCATGGGGTCCGTGGCCGAGTTCTACCGCGGTAAAGCGGTACTCATTACCGGTGGCACAGGATTCATGGGAAAGGTGCTGCTAGAAAAACTCTTGCGTTCTTGCCCGGGTGTGACCAAACTATATGTTATACTGCGACCGAAGAGGAACAAAAGCGTCAATGAACGCCGGGACATGCTGCTCAAAACTCAGGTAAGTGTAGACCAGCACCCTCGTCTACCCATTTACCCGTGTATCCATGCGTATTTTCAACTATTTTATGCCGCTCAATTTGTTTTAGATAGTCGACCAGTCTATGCAATAAGCTAAGCACTTTACACGACCCTGTTGAGGTGCGTGAAAGCTATAAAAAATATAACGTACCTTTCAGATATTTGACTATTTGGCCTACGAGTTCAAATTATTTCTCGGTCTATCCTTATCACTTCTTTTTTTTGTACATCAAGCAGTTCTAGAAAAAGGATTTCTAAAACATCCAGACGAACCATGCACTTTCCACGGCGACAGGGATTAACGTATTGCGATAGTGTTGCAAAATCCGAAAATGTGAAATAACTGGTATGTTGCAAACCTTGGCAACCTTCCGGTGTCGGATTATCATTCCGGTTGATGTAAGAACGAACGTCACTGCAGGACTTTTACCAAGGAGCTCTGATAAAAATGCACTCATGCAATAGATGTATACTGTCGTTCTGATCTATAACTGACGAAAAATAGTTAACAATTATTGATAGGTACTTATTTCCTTAAAGGGACTATCCCACCTTTAACATGGGGTTTGAGTTGAGACAGCCAAGTTTGCGGCGAGGTTCAGAAACCACTATCTATCTAGGTTGCAACCCCCGCGGCCTCTTGGTGTTGAAGAAATTCGTTCCCTTCATTTGAAAATGGGCCTTGTACAAGGCCCTATCTTCAACATGGAGCGACCGTTAGTGTGACGTCACCTCGTTTAGTCATTCTGATTTAAATGGGTTTGTTCGTTGAAAAATCGCTTAAAACTTGGTCTGAACTTTGTTGTGGTGCCTACAGAGTAAAAAGAATCAGCTTTATGACAGTAATGTGGCCTGGGGAAGGAGGTAATTTTGGGCTGTGACGTCACATATTTGAAAGTTTGTGTTTGGAATATGGGAAGCCTAAGATGTTTAATGAAAAATAAATGCCAGAACCGTGTTCCTGGTCATCCAATCTTTAAAGTCGGGCACAATTTAACTGGTTTTAACAACATTTTAGAAGGTGGGATAGTCCCTTTAATAGCAAGCTCGCCCATCATTCTGGCAAAAAAGAAGCAAAAATGGTCAGAAAAAAATACAGTGCTTTATTTTTGTTTTATCAGTCTTGAAATAATTTGCTAGGAGGCATGAGAAATAATGACAGCATTTTAAATAATTATCTATAGCTTTACAATCAGCACATCAGGAAATTATTATGAATTACCTCTATGCCTCGAACAAAAATGTACCCATTTATTATCCTTAAATTTTCTTAAGCTTAAACGAAATTTCGCGTCTTATGCTGGTGACATTTTGGTCATCAGTAGACCCTATAAGCTCTCTGGCTGGTAACAGTTACAACCGTACAAATGGGTCTAACTAATTTATATAAAATTTATATCAAAGTTGTTATTAGCCGTTTTCACGACGGCCATCTGGTACACATTTGGTGCACATCTGGTGTAGATCAGGTGCAGATTTGGTCAAATCAGGTTCAGTGTGTCTTTTAGTAGCTATCAGCTAGAATTGCACTAACTGCTTATATGCCTGCTTTGTCATATCATCAGAGAGCATCATCGATTAAAACACTGAAATAAATTCATAAAATAAAGTTATTTGCTGTAAAAGAGATTAGGTGCAGATTTGGTCAAATCAGGTGCACTCGCCGGAAAGCCCGTCGTGAAAACGGCTATTGCTAACTCATATATGAGTATCTGAATGGCACGATCATTTCGTAGTAAACGACATGCAATCCTGGGAAGTCGTTCTGATCAGTATGCCACGCCACTGTCGTGGCCGTGTATGGTCATTGGTCCGTCATGACACGGCCGGGAAAGACGTCGGTAGTGGGGAGCTCACAGCGGGGCCTTGTTCTGCGGCACAGTCTACCCGTCCAGGGCAGTCCAGGGAATCAGCGAGCGGCCGCCGCGCCGGGCCGCGCCGCGGCACATGGAGTAGTGCTGGCGATCCCCCACAGCGGGGACGTAGATACGGGCTTTTGACACGATACAAGGAAGGAACTGTGACCCGATCGTAGTAGCACGTGGCTTGTTGCTAAGTCACGCTAGCTTTTGCGTTATTTCGGCATCTTTTCACAACATGCAGGCAAGAGAGCAATGAAATGCCTTCCATGTAGTCGGTTACGACTAACAAATATGCATTTGGTAGTGGGCTTACATTGCGAAGATTCAAAACTAAGCTCAACTATTACGGAATGTTAAATATACTGATAACACCCCGTACGGATCTCAGAGTTATGCAGTAATCGCTTATCAAAGCTTCTCTTCAAATGGATTGCACCATTCGCTGCCCCTTTTGAGTCTTACCAAGCTATCTGTGCAGATCTTGCTTGTCTCTAAGCCCGCTAACTATCAAACATGCAATTAGAGACATAAAAATATTATAAGGATTACTGATCTGATTTTCGAGACTCCATTCACCCTGGATAACACTGAGCTCGACGCACCCAATTGTTCATGGCCCTGATACAATGACAGATATAGGTAATGGATTTGGTAAAATTATTGTGCGTTGTTAAAATATTCAAACGCGGACATTTGGTTTGATCAGAAGAGCAGGTTACCATTCTAGATTTGCTGCCACGTGCACGGGTTTTAGAGGAGTGACCTAAATAGTATCCGGGCTGACGAGTAGGTACCTACCTAAAAATAATTTATTTTTCGGTGCCCACGAAGCATTTAACAGCGAAGAATGTTGCATGCCGCAACATAATGCAGAATATGTATGCTATGGGGCGTGTTACAGAGTATCTATCTCTGCAATAAATGGGAGCTTAGCTGGTTGTTCGTTCATGCTGTTGAAGTTAATTGTATTTTTTATATAATTCGTTAATTTCGACTACGAGCTACGCTCATAATTCCTTTCAAGTGTCATAATTCCTTGCATAATATGTATTGCACGAACTGCCTTGAGCCTAACTTTGGCATATAAGGGAACGTCTTACATAGTGCAGGCCTGCTCCCCATCAGGCCATCTGCCGACCTCCCACCCGACGTCTCCAAATTCATTACCAGTTTGCAGCTTTCTATTGAGCGTTCCACTGTCTCCTGGTCAGTAAAATGCGCCCTGTCCGAGCAGATGGTCGCAGTTTGGGCCCTGGGCGGGCGCTATGGACCCCAGACTCTGCCCCCCCCCCCCGCCGGCCGGGCGGTGTCTCCAAACCTAGCGGTGGCGGTGGTCGCCAATGAGATGCGTCCGCCGGCGGCGGGCTGACCTCGCCCGGCCCAGTCGTATCGGCGCATCGGGCGGCGGCTGCAGCGTGCCGAACGGCATACCGGCGCCCGGCCGGCCGGACCGACTTTAAAAGGACCGCAGGGGACGGTCAGGGGGACGGCTAGCTGTCGGCGGAGAAATGCCAGTCTTGTCACCTATACCCACTCCCGAAAAGGAGATGGTCGGAGCTAGAGGCTGACTGCCGAACTCAAACTCTTAACCCGACTCGTTATGGGAGACTAGAGTTATGATCTGCGTGCTGTGTGAGTGGAGCTTGGAAGGATGAATTGCACCCACACTTTTATCAATTTATGGGTACAATCCAGTCGTAATTTAAATGGATCGCAAAAGTTCTTTTCGGACATATCCCTCGATCTGTTGTCAGTAAATTGTGATGAAAAAACCGTGATGATTTTCCAATGGTCAGTAGTTATTTCTGAGGCACCGGCCGAGGGTTCTGGTGACTTCCGACCTCCACTCGCTGCCGCGTAAGCTGCTAATTACCAGTGTACGCAGTCAGGCTGAATGTGCGCAGATTGGTCCAGTTTGGCGAGTGTTCCGCTTGGGGACCAAGGTGACCGGGACCGGAGCCAACCGGTGATGTCATCACATCCCACGGGATTGGTGCTGCAATCACAATTACGAGTCGTTTTATGATACCGTCATATAAGAGCGTTTGTTGCTAGCCTGTTCTCTAGCTAGGGAATTAGTTTGATGATCTTGTTGATAACGTTTATTGATTATCTTCGGTTCGTAACGTCGTGCTTATTATGCCATTTTTGACCTGGTTGGTGTTAAAAACCCTTAGCCATAATCAAGAACGATTTCTCAAGCACAAAGCTGACGTAATGCATGATCGGTGTAGCATATATGGCCACGGGCTCGAGGACTCCACTAGCATGTCCAGCACGTCCGTCCGGACGGATCATACATCAGCCGACCGATCCGGCCAACTCGAGGCTACACCGGGCATCTCCTGTTGGGCCTCTGGGCCTTCTGAATCCCCCAGCCGGCTGCAGCCGCTCCCCCGCAGCTCAGGGCCGCGGAGTCAGCGGCGCTCACCCGAGCCGCAGCCGCCCACCGGGGTCTGACCAGTGGCAACTGGTGTGAGCGCGCCGCTCGCTCCCTGCATACCTAATCCCGTCCATACAGGGCGCTCGTCCTCCGCCCATCGGCGGCCGCCGAACCCTAATCCCATGGCTGCGGCAGGAGGAGCTCAGCTCCGGCTCTGAGTCCAGAGAGGAGCCCCGGTATGCGCAGCACCTGTGATCATATACAGTCTCCCCGGCAGACGCCCAGCAAGGCCAATAGAGAGGCGAGAGCAGGCTCACCTCTGAGTCCAAGGAATAGCAAAACATGAGACAGCCTAGAGGGTAAAATAAACACCTCATAAAACTAGTTTGACTCATGGCTTCTGGCGAACGGCAGTTAGTCTCCCCTCTCTTAGCTTTATGTGTCAGCGCATAAATTATTGGTGCGATCACGTGCCGTCATCTTTTTCCGGTGACATGTTCCCCGATGTGTATCCCGGAGGTCTGCAGGCCCCCCCTCCTCGTTCGACGGTCACTGACCGGAAGGACGTCCATCGATTGGAATCGGCGGCGCTCCGTAAGCAATACCGGACGGTCGGTGCGCGCCGGTTCGACCGCGGCTCCTCCGCGGTCAGCTCGATATCGACCGGTCCGACCTGCCCGACCTCCGGCCGCGGTCATACACCGGTATGACACGTTCAGCCCCGCATGCCTCCGGGAATGCTCCAGACCTCGTCCGTGGCGCCGCGCCCATGGCTCTGACGACTCGTCACATGGGCCGTGCGGGGGAAGACATGGGTGTTTACCCGGCGACCCGGGTCGGCCGGCACGAGGTCGCAGGACTGCAGCACTGACCGCGCTGCACGCGGCAGCCTTGGGAAATCCCAGTCCTGCCGAGGTCGTCTCGGCGGCGCGGCCGCTTTGCATGTGGGGTCAGCCGGCCGCTGCTGCGGTCAGCGATGCGCCGGAATAAATCTCGGCACGGCGCGTGTCACTGCGCTGGCATGTGGCGCCGGTGTGAGGCTGCATGACGCGGCATTCCTCGCGGCAGCGGCGGCAGACGGCTCACCCCATGACCACGGGACATGAGAATGAATGAACCACCCCAGCTCTGTGTGCTACCGCGTCATTAAACTCAACAGCTGTCCATTATTCTATTAGCCGTGACAAATAGGGGGCGTTTCGGTTAGACATGGTGCGTAATTATCTTAACGTGAGTATCTTCACACTCCATAAATCAGTTACGACCATGAGCCATGAATCATGACCAAACGGCTCTGTGCAGCTAGCCATGAGGTGCAGGCGAGGCTGAACAGCCTTCCGGGCGTCCCGAATCGAGCCAGGAGCATGACCAGCCGACCATAACGGTTCATTGCAACTCGTTCGGCAGGTGCGCCCTAATCGACTTCCAATCGCCGGGTGTCCCGTCCTTCCGTTCGAGCTGCCCAGGTGTGCCGCGGTCGATGCCATCCCCGCTCGGTCCCGCTCGGTTCCGCTCGGTCCCCGCACGGTCCCGCTCAGTGATTTGCCGGCCGGTCCGCTGCCCGGAGTCAGTGACCGATCCGTCTGCGACCTTGATCGTGCTCGATTGTTGCCTGGCCGGGACCGGCAGTCCGTTCCGGGCCGGCCGCCGATTGGAGCAGCCTCTGCCGCCTAGGACCGGCGCGACTCTTGGCATTCCTGGACGGATTGTATCGTCTGGGGACGCTGCGCTCCAGTGGCCGGCTGACGGACTGCGCCGCGTCGCCTCGAGTCATCGGTCGGCCGGCCTGCCACCTGGGTACAGGCAGCAGGTGCTGGGTCGCGCGGAGTCTGTCTAGCTGATGGCATCACAATTGGATAGGTGGGGCGACGCCAGCCAGGTGGCTGTAAAAGCTGCAATTCGTTTCGTCTCAGCATCCATATCAAATGTGTCCGCTTAGCGTTATCAGGAAGCAGTAATTAGAGCGTTTTACCTTTTGCAAGGTGCCTACCTAGCGGCAGTCGTCAGGTGAATAAAAATGTCAATCAGGAAATGCCATTATTTTTGCGGCTCGTTACAAACGCTATTTTTGTTAAGATTTTCCGAGGTCTGTTAATTTTATTCTCACTTCACAAAACGCATGTGTTTCCCACGGGCTTGGTTTATGTGCATGCATTTATGCATATATGCAGCGCAGGCCGTACCATGAGAGCTGAATCGAGATGTTTTAGCCTAGCAGCTAGAGTTGTATTGAGACGGATGGGTCTGACGATGCCGATCGATGTTGCAGTTCAGCACAGTCACGTGGCCATTCTCAAGGTCTGGTCTGTCCCATCTGCTCGGCAACAGCCGCAAACTGACTCATTTCATACGCCGAATCCTGCAATAGCGACACAACTGCGAACCAGTCGTATCGCCGGCGACATTTGTGCGTTTCAATGGCGTTATTTCATGTATTACTTGTCTGGCAGTGCGATCACTGGAGTCTAACACGGCGATCGGCAGGCTCGCTATGCCGTATGTGTTGGGCTAGTCAGTGGTGACGGGACTCAGAGGTTCAGGCTCAGTGCGCTCCTCAGGACCAGTGTTCGCTTTGGGCCGGGCCAGCCCAATGGGCCATGGGCTGGGCTGGGCTACGGGCTGGGCTGGGCCCTCAAATATGAAGGATCGATGGGCTGTGGATGGGCTGGGCCATGAACTGTTAAGTGGAGTCAGGGGTTCGCAACTGAGACAAAAACTATAACTACATAGCTTATTACTGTGCAAGACTCAAAAACGAGTCAATAAAGCACGCATGCAATGTGCATTGTGCATGCGGCTCGCAAAATATTGTTTCTTTGCTACCTTTGGGTACCTGTGCGGTGTCAATAATTTGTAACCCATTCATTTTTGACGGGCTGGGCCGGGCTGGGCTTTTACGCTTTTACCATGAATGGGCTCGGGCTGGGCCGGGCTGTGAACCCATGGGCCTGGGCTGGGCTGGACTAGGATTTTGCGGCCCGTGGCGAACACTGCTCAGGACGCTGGTAAACAGCAGGCGGTCTCTGATTGCCCTCTTTAGGTACTGTTCGCTTTACTAACTCGGTCCTCCGGTGCTATAACCAACCATCTGCCGTCCGCTGAATGTGGGGGACAGACCCGTTGGTGCTCCCAGCGGGCTCAGCAGAGCCGCACACCCCAAAGGTCCTCCCATGGTCCGGCGAGGCCACCGCTCGGCCGGTCCGTCAGCAGGAGAGGCTCCGAGGCTCTGACCTCGGCCGCTGGCTCCTGGAAGCCTCTGAGCGGCAGAGCCCGCAGCTGCCCGCCCTTGGAGAGGCCCTCACAGCAGGGAGGGTCGCCAGTGTGTAAATGCTGCAGTGCCAGACCGGCCACATGCATAACGAAGGCTAACGATTGAGCCCCGGTGCCGCGGGGGAGCCAGCCAGCAGTGGGCGAGGTAGGCGACTGAGGGCTGAGGATGTGTCTGGAGTGTGTCTCGCTGGAGGGGGTCGCCCCGGGTCACCCTTATTCGCCATCAGGGGAAGGTGTCGGGTCTCTGTCGGAGGTCCCATGTGTGCGGGCTGTTCGTGGAGGTCCTGTGTGCGGGCGGTTGCCTCCGGAGGCCCAGTGTGAGCGGTTGGCTGTGTGTGGGGGGATGGCTGTGTAAGGAGCTGACCCCGGGGGCCCTCCGGGAGGAGGCGGCGGTGTCCCGCTGTGTCGCGCGGCCGGCCGGTGAAAGTGGGCGGCGCGCGACAGGTTGGACGGTGCAGCGCTGCAAGGTCGGCAGTGCCGGCGCGCCGCCAGCGTCTGACCACTTTCGGCGTGGCCCGGTCACCTGACCGGTCGCGGCCACAGGCGACCGGCGTCACCGGCCAGCGGCCCTGGCCGCCGCCGCCGCCGCCGCGCCGCTGCCAGCCAGCGCGCCGTCCCGCCGGCGGGCTGACACCTCTGTTCGATGACCTCCTTTGATGCGGCCGTGCCAGCCAAACCGGATGTCTTACTCGCTTGATGCAATCAAACACGCTCGATGGACTCGAACGACGGATCTGTGCGGTCTGATCCTCAGCTCCTTATGTCGACATGAGTTTATCAGCGAGCGCATCTCGCGCTCTGCGGTCTGCGGAGAACAGTCGGCTGCCGTGGCCTCGTAGCGGTGAGTTACATTGAGATCGCCTGGTGATTGGTAGCAATTCTAATCTATTGCCTTCCTACAGCGCGACAGCTGCCATACGTTTGGCGCTGTTGTATAGCAGACAAGACACTCGGATACTTGAATGACATTAGCTCGATGGCCTCACAAGTATTAAATAGGCGTTCTGACGTCAGTCGTCGCCAGATATCCACTGCAGTGCTCAGAGTTCTGCATAGCACTTTCAGTAATCTTCTTTTGACTCCAGCAGAAGTGCCCGTTCGACCTCAGCCGTCTGCTCGATATGGCTGGCTGTGGCCGGAGCGGTGTCTCCTGTACCGGCCAGTTGCCGGGCCCTCTCCTCCCCCCCCACCTCCCAGGCCAAACGGCACTGGTCGCCGCACCCCTCCCCTGTTACGGACCCGTCCGGGCCGGCCGCTGTTACGGTCTCTAACCGTCACCGGCAGCCTGTGACGGCCGACGAGTCTCAATGGCGCGGCAGTGTGTGCTAACGGCCGTCTTTTCTTTGCAGATTTTCGATTACCTGAAGAAGACCGACCCGGCGCAACTGGATAAGGTGGTGGCCATTCCGGGCGACGTCATGCAGCCCGGCCTGGGCATCTCATCGGCCGACCGGCAAACGCTCGAGGATGAGGTAAGTGCCGCCCGTCCGCCGTCCGCCGTCCGCCGCCCGCCGTCCGCCGTCCGCCGTCCGGTGGCCTTGGAGGCGTGCGCTGCGGAACAGCATATCTGCAGGCGCTCGACGCTAGTGACATCTGTCGGCCGGAATGGAAGCTGATGTCACGTTCGCGACTTAATCGGGACGCCGTTCAGTGATGGCGACAATTCGAGTTGGGAGGGTTCCCGCCATCTCAGACAGCATGGCACGGCGACTTAAATGTGTTCTATGAGTAAGCGACCAATGCCCTGTTTTAGGGTGCGGGCGATACAAAGGGTAGGATATAGGTAAATTGATTCATATGTTATTATTTTTCTATGTTCTGAATATCAATTTTTTATCTTAGGGTCGATGAGTACATATATAAATGGTGCTGTAGCTAAGTGTTTCAACATCCACGTTGATGGATAATGTAACCTTATGCAAACTCCCTCTTATAACGGAGCGCTGATGCAGAACCAAGTATAAGGGCTGAAGTCACAATGTGGTCTCGGTGTTTTATAAGGCTAAAGGCCTCCATTTAGAATGACAACTGCTGCTGTCTGCCGGCTGGTCCAGGAGCCGACCCCACTGCTGGGTTATCGCGGTCAATCGCCGACCTTTTTAGTGAACGCCGATGACAGACATCGAGGTCAGACAATAAGGGTGCGCTGGCATAAATTACGTCACCGATTTATGTAGATTTGGCCTCTGGTGGAGTGAACGATTGACTACAACAGGCTGAATTTGTGACATTAATCGGAACAAAGACAGTTTGAATCAATGATAAGCATAGCATCAATCTTGAGTTCAACATTCCGGGATAAAAAAAGACTTGCGTAAGTCGCGACTTTCAGTTGAATCATCGCGGTAGATGCGATTGATTCAGCTGCTGCCTGCGATGCAAAAATGATAAATGTGTTGTATCAACTACGCATGTGGTACTTGATAAATTGTACCAAATCATAAAGTAGTTATTTAGCTACTCAATGTCGGATATCATTTGATCGGTCTGCTGCCATTTGATTCGTATGGCTGAACGGCCGGCGCTGGGTCCGGTCGTCCGCTCAGCGGGGTTTGTGTAACAGTGTGAGGCAGTGAGTCACAGACCCGAGAACATGAGCCGTGTCCGGGTCACCGACAGGGTTCTGTTTGCGTCATTCCTCTGTCCGCATTTACAGCCAGTATAAGAAGGCGATTACGGGCGTCGCTGGTGTTTATAATTGCGCATAGCTCTTGCCCTCCGTTTGAAAATAATCATGATTATCTAGCATGAAAACTTTATGCATACAATAATTTCTCAGTTTTTGTTTGCTTTTTACCCATGAGATAGTGCTCTAAGGTGTTCATATGAAGGTAAAGTTGTGTATTCAAGATCCAGGCGACTCAACTCAGTTATTGATTTAAGCAACTGCAGCCTGCAAATTTTCGTAGTAGTACCACATTCCCTGCAGACCATGAGTCATGACCTGTGGCATTGATTTAGAATCATGCAGAATAAATGAAATCAAAGTACAATTGTAACGCCATCAATTCGTAATTGTAACATCCAGACATGTCCTCATTCCAGGTCAGCATTGTGTTCCACTCAGCAGCAACAGTCAAATTCGACGAAGTCCTCAAAGTTTCAGTTACCATGAACGTCAAAGGCACACAGTCATTGCTACATTTGGCGAAACGGATGCGAAATCTTGAGGTAAGGATGAACAGGCACACGTCATGTGCTCAGACTTTTTCAGCGATGTGCAATTAATGGATGAGTAAAACATAACCAGTTAACCCTTTGTTTACATGTTCACTGTTGTGAGTTGTTTTTAATTATCAGGCACTTTATCTTGCACGTATTGATGCATTACAGTCCAGGTTAAGGAAGTTTGCATTTCTCACCGCTCCTCCCGTCTGTGCAGGCCTTCATCCACGTGTCGACAGCGTACTGCAACTGTGACCGGGAGGTGATTGACGAGGTGGTCTACCCCAGTCCGGCCGACCCCAAAAAGGTCATGGAGATGGTCGAGTGGCTCGACGACGACGTGCTCGCCGACATCACGCCCAAGTGAGTCGCGGGGCCGGGTCGGACCTAAAGGCGTGTCCAGGAGCTCAGCGGCATTAACCGGCACGCTGCTAACGCTCAGAGAAGGACGGACCTTGATCTTACATGACGCTGTATTTTACTAGAATCTCTACATAATTCTCTTTTGTAATATCCTTATAGCGTCAAACGACGGAGGGTGAGACGGGTTCTCGGAACGCCTCGGCTTTCCACTCATCATATAGGTACACCTGTAGTACTGTCCCTGCCTTGTGTTCGGTTCCATTGGGAGCCCCGTCCCGTTTAAGTGACGTCATCAGCTCCGTAGAGCCCTGTTGTGGTCTGGTGACGCCACAGTTTTGTCCATCGCCGTGACACGTCTCTCCTCTCTACTGACAGGTTGCTGGGTAACCGGCCAAACACGTACACATACACCAAGGCGCTGGCCGAGAGCCTGATCGTCTCCGAGTGCGAGGACATGCCGGTGGCCATTGTGCGGCCTTCCATAGGTGAGTTACTGGCCGTCAGCAGCGCCCTGGTGGGACGCCGAGGAGCGCCGCAGTGCGTCATGCATGCTTTGCTTCTCCTTTACTGCTGGGCTGCACACTTATTTATGCATTTGGAGAATCGTTAAATGTGCATGATTTACGGTATCTGGGGCTTATGAGTGCACGGCTCGTGATGACGTTTTTACCTACCGTCCTTGCAACATCTGAACTGGATCCTAAATTTGCGGTTCAGAAACAGGACACAGATGCTTCTAAGTCACTTAAGCTGAAAAAGAGCGTGAGCAGAAGACGTAGAGCAAGGTTATGAGCTGGTCTAAACCCACAACAGCGGATTTCTGCGTGTTGTTGCCATACACCTGGTCACGCAAGCAGAAACCTAGAGATCTTTCAGAGCCTCTCAAGGCCTCTGCGTTACGGCATCGTTAAGCTGTGTTCTTGTTCTGAAATCAATGGGCCAGCAGTCGCGGTACGGTTTCCCTCACGCTGCGACCTGTGCAGTGCAATGCGTGAATAACGGCACCTTCTGACGGCTCACCGCCGGGATTAAGGTGAAGACGTTCCCAGGTCGACAGTATGTGGGTCCGACTCGACTTCGTGGAAAAACCAGCCTTATCTTGTATCAGCCAGCAAGATAGTCAGGACGTATTTCAACGGACCCTTGCACTGTTACGTGCAATTTTTCGTAACCATATCTTATATTAACAACGTTAGCATGTACGAATTTGAGATGTCCTTGTTTTACTTGGTTTCACCTCGAAGCGTTTCCCATAACGATATGTTATATGTATCTTCAAAATTTGTGGGAACCTCTGCAATGCATGTCATAGAAAGCGGACAAAAAACATTTGACGGTGGGGTGACCCATATTTTATTGCTACGTTTTGTTAAGAAGACGCATTAACGCATATAATTTCTTTTGCGATTGCATAAAGGAAAATCGCAATAGGTTCAAAATCTGCTATAATTGAGTAACGCTAGACCGACGATTGGCTCATCCCGGCAACAGCGGTCCCTGCTGGCTGGGGATTGCCCGCCTGAGGAGCGACGAACCCGCGTGCCTAATCTGTGGCGGCATGTGTCGCAGCGCCGGGTCGCTCACAGACCGGACCTGAACGGACAGATTATACCGCGACAAATTAAAAGTCTACACGACGTGTCCCTGAAGCGGCTTGTGAATTCATTGTCGCTGATCCTCGCGGGCTTAGCTCTGCGGTGGATCGTGGGACGTTAGATGTCGTTAATGACCCGGCCGACCGGCGTAAAGCGTTGTCAGGGACGCCACTCGGCGGCCTGCAGGCCGGGAATTCAGCGCGCCGCCTGAACGGCACAGGCTAGGGCTTCGTCTGCGCTTTGAGAGATTTCTTCATATCAACGAAAAAGGACGGTACTTGACTCGGTCAATTAGCATAATTGTTAACCAATTTAAAACGGTGAGACGTTTCGGTCCAAATTTCCCAATGTAAGTAAATGCGCATCTCGAGCGCCCCACCTCTCTAGCGCTCAATTCAAACTGTACCCCTCCCCTAAATGGTGCAGTAGCTCTTCCTCATGCCGTAGCAGGCCTTGCACGTGATAGAATCAGCCGAACAGGGGCCGAGGCGGAGACATGCAGCCGGAATGAGCCCGCTGAAGGCTGCTCTGCTGCGCGGCGGCGCGCGCGGCGCTGCAGTTTGTTTTGGAAGGCAAATGTCCCGCCTCGAGAGCATCCCACCGCCATAACGGACAGCACAGTGCGGGACGGCCTGTGGAGATGTGTCTCTCCAACACGGACTGCGAACTCTGACCGCTCAGCTTTAACACAAGCTCTTTGTTCGTACATTTATTATTTATCTACTGCAGTTAGGAAAATTAGTACCAACACGTGTATTAAAATTACAAAAAAAAAACTATCAAAGCCCATATTTTTGTCAGCTATAACCATTGTCAGCCCTTCTCTGGTAGCCTTCGGTGAAGTCTTATGCATGAAGCTATTATTACATTCATTTTCTCATTCTACTCAGCTTTCGACAATAGGGATATTAGCAATGCTTGACTGACTGTTCAGTAAACAACCGAATGACGTAGAAACTCACTCGGAAGCTCGTGTCAAGATTTCTCCACTATGTTATTGCATATGAACCACCGTTGTGGTGCTGTGGTCCCGTATTGTGCCGCGCACGTGGCCCATTCGATCCGCCAGCTCGAACTGCGCTGACCGCAGAGCATCAGTCAGCCAGCCGCAGCACCACAGCGGCTGAGCGGCGGCTGAGCGGCGGCGGCGGCTATCGTCGCCACGCTCGGCAGCACAGATTCTGTACCTCCGGAGAGCGCTGGGGAGACAGAGGGAGCCCTATCGGCGGGCCGGTGACACGGCACACGGAGCCGCGTGTCCGAGGGCGCGGGGTCGGCTGAGGAGGGCGCCGAACTGCAGACTGAGCCGCGGTGCGGGCAGTGACACCGACCGTGACCCGTCACACCGCCGTCACACCGCCGTCACACCACCGTCACACCGCGCCGGGTCGGCCGGCTGAACGGCCGGTGATCAGATGGTTACACCGATCTGCCGGGTACGGTCACGGCAGTTGGACAACAGTCTGAACGCCAGTCACCGTCTAACCGTCACAGGCATGTCAACCATCACAGTCACCGTTTAACGACTCAGTCGCCGTCTTACCGTCTCAGTCGCCGTCTTACCGTCCAGACACCGTCTAACCGTTTCAGCCACCGTTTACCTGTCACAATCCCCCTTTAACCATCACAGTAACCGTCTAACCGTCATAGACACCAACAAGTCACCTTCTGTCTAGTGCAGTGAACCGCAGGCGCTCGCAGTGACCGTTCAGAGTTGGACGGGCATCGGTGCATTCAAGCAGCCACAGCGTCCCATTGAGGGCGTGCGATATCCATCAGCGCGTTAGACGCTGTCTGATGTGGCTTTTATGGCTCTGGGGGCGCGCCAGGGTCGGCAGCCGCGCAGCTCCGGCGAGTGAGCCCTCCCGCGGCGCCAGGTGCGGGGCCAGCAGCGTGAGAACGCCCAACCGGGACCGGCCACGTCCGTCGCAGTCAGTGGACACTGACAGCCACCTGCACATGCACGATCAGTCTGTGCGGACAGCCGGCGATGAAGTAAGGTGCCGAGAGCCACACCTGTCTGTCTGGGCCGACTTCCGAGCCGTGTCGGGACGCGGCCGCTGGGACAGGTGTGTGGTCTCGGGGCAGGGACAGAGCCAGAGGTACGGACCGTCCACACGGCCGGCTGAGGGCGCGCAGGACACGGCATCTGACCCCGACCCCCGACCAGGGGGCAGGAGCCTCCTCAAGGCCACAGCTGCCAGTGATGACCCAAGGTCAGCCTGCAGGGCCCGCTGCCCAAGGATCGTCTAACATTGTCGGGGCATTTGGCCTCCATGATCTCCTGTACAATCACTAGACAGCACGGAGGAAGCTGACGCAAGCATCTTAATGAGCCGTTGCAAATGATTTTGTGTACTTGGAGACGGATGAAAATGCATTTTTGACAAGTTTGCCTTGAATGAGCATGCCTACCCGATCCGCGAAATAAGACTCGCTAGGTTTCGGCATGCAATGCGATGTTTTGCATTCCCCATGAAATGCTGGGCTAGATGTCACTTAGCGATGGAAATAAATTTCAGCTGTTTTGATTGATGGCCCATGCGGTGCCTCAGGTATTAGATGCGAGCCTGTCCTGAATTCGGCAGGCCGTCTGGGCATGGTTCGATGCAGATGTCTACCGTAAAATCGCGTATCGGTATGTATGGATTGTTAACGTCGCGGGAGTTTGACATACCACCGTCCGACCTCAGTTTGACCATCGATTCGCTCACTGGAGCGCAGTAGTGGGATATTATCTGCCATGTCCTCGACCCGCTGGACTGAGCTCCATGCGGCCCGATAGACGGCTTACCTTGACTGCCGTGACCTGACCGCCTCCGTCCATCCACAGTGACCTGCGCCTGGAAGGAGCCGCTGCCGGGCTGGGTAGACAACTTCAACGGGCCGACGGGCATGATCGCCGGCGCCGGCAAGGGCCTGATGCGCACACTGCTCTGCCACGAGGACCTGGTGGCCGACGTGGTGCCCGTGGACGTGCCCATCAACCTGATGATCACGGCTGCCTGGTACACGGCCGTCAGAAGGTGAGCGCCGAGCCGAGCTGGCCGGCAGCCGGGGAGAGGCAGAGACCGAGAGAAAGGAGAACGGCCGCCGTCATGAATGTTATGTTTCATAGATAACAAGAGTCATGCTATCTATAGTTCCCTGAGAAAATAAAAAATCGAACAAATCTGAATAATGCTAAGGGCAGCTATGAAGTAATAAATATGCATATTTATGCTGAGATATTTATTATGAAAACTTTTCGTTGTGTCATTGTAATACCTACTGCATGTTGGGTAATGTTCTTTTACAAGTGATTTTAAATTCGTAAAGAAAATCGTATTATACGCATCGTATGTCATGATTCAAACGGTTTTTTGTCTACGACCATGCTCAATGTTAATCCCATCAACGTCTTGAGAGAGCCGCTCCCCGTCTGCTCGGTGCAAAGCACGGGCCGGGGATGTCGCTGACTTCACCGGCCGCTATGTGAGGGAAACTTGAGCCGCCGCGCCGGCCGGCAGCCTGCATTCATGTGAACGGACGGCAATGAGATGCAGCAGCTCATCTAAACTGGCGTCCCGCCACCACGGCCGGCACTGACACCGTCTCCTGGGGCGAAATCTGCGCACTACATTGGACTCTGTAGCTCGTACCTGAGCTCGGTGACCCGTACCACGCTCCGTACCAATTTCTGTGACCCGTATCAGACCCCGTACGGGGCTCCGTACCGCGATCCGTACCGAGCTCTGTGGCCCGGCTGACGGCCGGAGCAGGAAGTGCAGTCAAGGGAGGCCCCGAAGGTGCGGGATGATTACCAGCCCGGAGACAACTGGTGCAGGGGAGCGGCAGAGCGGCAGGGGAGGGGCAGAGGGGGTGAAGAGCCTCCTGCAGCGCCAAGGCCGCGCCGAGCAGCGCCCGACCCTGACTGCTGACCGCGGCACTTCCGAGATCGGCCCGCACCTGCGAGCCGCCCAGTACCGCCGCTGCCGCGGTGCGCTCAGATAAAGCGATCCGGTGCAGCGTGCCCGGTCGGGGATCAGACATTGTTAGCCGGGGCCACCAGCGGGCCCCGCGCCGGCGCCAGGCACGCCACTCTCAGCCGGCGTATTTGGCGCGCGCGGGCACCGACGCCTCAGCGGGGCCGCGCAGGCAGATCTCTCTGCTCCCGAGAGCCGGATGCCGTGTGCCAAATACACAGGAGGACCAGCCCTCTGTTTCATGTGCCGGCGCCGGCCTTTCACTTTCCTCGGCGGCTGAAGCCGGAAGCCGTGGCGCTCGGCGCTGCCCGAGCGGCGCGCTCGTGCGGCGCGCGCGCCGGCGGTGGCCGACTGCTGTTTGTTCGCCACTGAGCCGGCACGGGCCCGCGCGGCGCGCACGCGTGCCCAAAGGTTCGGGCGGCGGCCGGCGCACGGCGCGGTGGCGACACGGGAAACCGGACACGATGGATGCACACCGCCGCACCGCACAGGCGGACACGGAGACGGAGACGGAGACGGAGACGGGGACGGAGACGGAGACGGAGACGGAGACGGAGACGGAATTAGAACGGATATCTAAATGGATCAGATGTGTAAGTTGAGGTGCGAATAGATACAGCGAATACGGAAGCATAAATAGGACAGCCAATGACATACGCCTGTCGTCAGCTGTCGCGGCCGCAGACGCGCATCCCCGGCCGCGCCGTGGGAGAGCGCCGTTTTTCTGCGGCGAAAGTGGAATAACGGCCACGGCCGAGGGCCAGTGAGCCGATCATTGTGTCGGCGCTGGAGGGATACCCTGTTCTGCTCGGTTTCTGAGTTTCGTCACCGTCTACGTCACCGACCGGAACTCACGTTCCCGAGTCAAACAATGCGCGTGGTTTCAGCCGACTCCGGCGCGGCCCATTTCAACTGTCACTTTTACTTGGCCGAGACCCGCTAGGTGCGCGCTATTTTTTGTTTGTTTGTTTATCCGATATGCGCTGGCCACGACCAATTACAGCGGCGGCCGGTGGCTAAAAACTGGCCCGGCTGCGGCTCACCGGAGCGCCGAGAGGAGGTCGACCGCGCCGGCACGCCCTGTTGCTGCCCGGCGCCGCCGAGCCGCCTTTGTTGTCGCCGCGGAGGGCGAGCGACGGTCCGGCGATCTGCAGCGGGCCACACCGGGTCCGTTAGAGGAGGGTGCCGACCCTCTGGAGATCTGCAGCCCGGGTTGTTTTGTTCGTGGCAATACCCGTTACGGAGATATCGGTGAACGGGATTCCGGTGTTAAACAGTGCGCAGTGCCGTATCGCAGTAGGTCGCGGAATGTTATCGAATTGCAGCATGTTATCGAACCACTGTAGCTAGTATCTCGGCGTCATCACCCATGGACATCGCCACTCCACGGCGAGTTGACCAAACTGTGGGAGCGGAACTGACACTGCGATGCCTCGATCAGGATCTGTGTGACCCGGCGGTCCCACTAACTCCTGTTTTGTCTCTCCCTCAGCCCGCGGCACCCGACCGTGTACAACTGCGCGTCCGGCAGCATCCGGCCGATCCGGTGGCGCGAGGTACGCGTCTGGGGCGAGCTCGAGCTGCGCGAGAACCCCATGTGCAACGTGCTCTGGTACCCGGGTGGCAGCTTCACCAGCTCGCCGCTGGCCAACAAGTTCTGGGTGGTGGTGTGCCACTTCATCCCGGCCTACATCCTCGACGCCGTCATCATGCTCTGCGGACACAAGCCACTGTGAGTTGCAGGGAATGGTGGGGGAGGGGAGGGGGAGGGGAGGGGAGGGGAGGGGTCACTGACAGAGGAAGGGCAGACCGCTGGGGGAGGGAGGGAGGGGTCACTGACTAAGGAAGGGCAGACGGCTGGGCAGGGAGGCAGGGTCAGGGCCAAAGAGCTGGGGTCGGTGGAGCGGAGGGGTCACTGTCTGATGAAGGACGGAGCCGATGAGGGAGCGTTGGGGCTGTTTAGCCGGTGAGGAAGCGACATATCATGCAAAGTAGTTCTCAACACGAGTCGCGGCTGCCGTTTCAAGGCCAGTCTGTGGTTCTCATAAATATAAGATCGTCAGGGCTCGGGCTGTGGCGTAAATATGCATTACGCCTTAGCGGACTGAGAGGGCTGCAGTGAGGTGGCATTATAGGCGACAGTGTGGGCACACTGTAATAATGCTATGCAGGGGCGGATCCAGAAAAACTCCAAGGGGAGGGTCATGAATCGAAGTGGTGCCCCTACCTATACCCAAAATTAAAACTCAACGGATTTCGTCCACTTCATTTTGGTGGTGCCCCCATTTTCAGTCTTTTATTTTTTATTTTTTATTTTTAGTCAGTATCTTAACTCTTAGCCACAACCACATTTACCAATTGTAAGCAAGTATATATGAATGTGCTATGTGTATATATGTTGTGGACGCTGAGTAGTGAGTACTTACCAGGAACGTTATCAGGTAAGCAAATCGTTGTCAGTCCGACGAACTTGACCCTGGCGTCTAAAGGGTCTGTCCTTGACACTTCAGGCTTGTCAGGGGCACCAAAGTCCTTCCAGGGACACCACAAACCTGTCAGGGGCACCTACGGCCTTGTAGGGGCGCCACAGGCCCGCCAGGGGCACCACAGGCCTGCCAGGAAGCAGGGGCACCACAGGTCTAGCAAGTATACACGACAGGCCTGTCAGGGGCACAACGGGCCTGTTGGGCCCATGAGCATCCCTAGGGGCAGGGGCACCACAGTCCTTCCAGGGACACCGCAGGCCTGTGAGGGGCACCAGCGGCCTAGCAGGGGCACCAGTCAACACAGGCCTGCCAGGGGCACCACAGACCTGCCAGGGGCACCAGAGGCCTGCCAGGAGCACCACCGACCTCGCAGGGGTAACTTGGGCCTGTCAGGGTCCAGGGGCACCACGGGCCTGTCGAGAGGCACTTCAGGCTTTTCAGGGGCACCATAGTCCTCTCCGTGCGCAGGGGTAGCAGGGGCACCAGAGGCCTGCCAGGGGCACTACAGGCCTAGCAAGGGCACCACTGGTCTATCAGGGGCACCACGAGCCTGTCATAGCCAGGCATCTCAGGCTTGTCAAGGCCCAGGGGCACCACAGGTCTGTGAGGGGCACCAGCGACCTAGCGCACCAGTCAACACAGGTCTGCCAGGGGCGCCACAGACCTGCCAGGGGCACCACAGACCTGCCCGGGGCACCAGAGGTCTGCCAGGGGCACCACCGGCCTCGCAGGGGCACCTTGGGCCTGTCAGGGGCACCACGGGCCTGCCGAGGGGCACTTCAGACTTTTCAGGGGCACCAGTCCTCTCCGGGCGCAGGGGTACCAGCGGCCTAGCAAGGGCACCAGAGGCCTGCCAGGGGCACCAGCGGCCTAGCAAGGGCACCAGAGGCCTGCCAGGGGCACCACAGGCCTAACAAGGACACCACGGGCCTGTCAGGGGCACCTCAGGCTTGTCAGGGCCCAGGGACACCACAGTCCTTCCAAGGGCACCGCAAGCCTGTCAGGGGCACCAGAGGCCTGCCAGGGGCACCACAGGCCTAGCAAGGGCACCACTGGCCTGTCAGGGGCACCTCAGGCTTGTCAGGGCCCAGGGGCACCACAGTCCTTCCAGGGGCATTACAAGCCTGTCAGGGGCACCTTAGGCCTAGCAAGGGCACCACAGGCCTGCCATGGACACCACAGGCCTGCCAGGGGCACCACCGGCCTTGCAGGGGCGCCTCAGGCCTGTCAGGGGCACCACGTGCCTGCCGGGGACACTTCAGGCTTGTCAGGGGCGTTACAGTCCTGTCGGGGCCCAGGGGCACCAGGCCCGTGGTGTCCCTGCTAGGCCTGTGGTACCCCTGGCGGTCCTGTGGTGCCCCTGTCAGGACTGTGATACCCCTGATAGGCCGGTGGTGCCCCTGGCAGGTCTTTGGGCCCCCGGGCCTCAAGGGGGGCCATAACCCATGTGACCCCCCCTTGGATCCGCCACTGATGCTATGTGCTCCGTTTCAGGCTGGTGCGCATCCACAAGCGGATGCTGAAGGCGTCCAACTGCCTGACCTACTTCACCACGCACCAGTGGACGTTCAAGTCGAACAACGTGCTGTCTCTTCTGGGCGAGATGTCCGAGCACGACCGGCAGGAGTTCCACTTCGACATGAAGGTGGGTGGCGTGTTCGCCAGCTCGAGCCGCGGACTACCGCGCCGTCCCGCGCAGTTCAATTATCACTGGCTGTGCCGGCCAGCCCAGTCTCCCGCACCGACCCTCGGTCGTCCAACAGGAATGCACTCGGTATTGCCTCAGCGGCCCATCCGTTCTTCGTTCGGCTTTCCTCTTCCCTGCATCATTAACCTACTTCGGCACGGGGCTTTGGAATTTATCGCCGGCGCAGCTGCGCGCTGCCGCCGTGCGTCCGTGTCGGTGTGTTGCGTCACCGCCGCCGCCGCCGCCGCCGCCGCCGCCGCCGCCGCGCCGTCTGTTCGTCAGGGCGCCGCCGGACTGACCCCCCCCCCCCCCCGCCCCTCCCCCCGCCCCTGCAGGATCTCGACTGGCGGAAGTACCTGGCCATCTATTGCATCGGCGTGCGCCGCTTCATCCTGAAGGAGGACGATGACATGGAGAAATCGCGCCGCCACCTGCGCAGGTGGGTGTTGGGCCGCCGCCGCGCCGTGCTGGTCCGGTGTGCGGAGCCTCTCCGCCGCTGCGGACTAATCCCTGTCCATTGAGCGAGATGGAAATGGCACCGATTTGGGCATGACACCGTTCACAGTAGCCGTGTTCGGTCATTGGCGCCGGGGTGTTAGTTTTGTAGGCAGCTCTCCGGGCGGGCCCCTGTGGCGTGTTTACTGTTCACCACTTAGCACGAGTGCTTGTTGAGCTGCCTCATCACGCCACTCCCGACTCCCGTTCTGCAAACCGGCCGTTTGTATACCCGTGTCGTTTACGGCCTCTAGTGGGCGCTTTGATCGGCCGATCATCGGGTGCATGGTGCACTGAGTAGTAGTAAACACGGCTCTTCAAGCACATTGCTTCATTAGAGCTGCTGGAGCCCGACGGGACACGCTCCGCGTGCCTGTGCCGATTTTAGCCGGCGTGCCGCCCCGCCGGGAGGGTCCCACATATATCGTCTGCAGACGGAGCACGTGGTGGACCGTGCAGCTCTGCCGGCCATCAATTAGCGGTGTGTGCGCCGGCTGCACGCTGCCGCCGCCGGCGCCCCGCGGGGAAGGACAGGGAGCGAGGGAGAGCGGAGAGCGAGCGGGGAGCTCGCCCGCCCGCCGGTCGCTGACCCTGCGCCGCCGCTGCCCTCAGGATGTACTACGTGCAGGAGGCGTGTCGTCTGCTGTTCTTCCTGCTGACGTGGCGGACGCTGCTGAACCGCTCGGAGACGGCCCGCGCCCTCTGGTCGTCGCTGCTGACGCTGCTGCGCAGCATGATGCCGGCCGTGCTGGCGCCGCTCACCAGCTAGCTCGCTGGCCCCGTGCAGCGGCGCGGCCGCCCGGCTGCCCGTCCGGCCGGCGCGCAGTGGACCCTCGTCACCGCCTCCATCGCCCGTCTCTCGGCCGCCGACAGTCGCCGAGCGCGAGTCCAAATCCCGACACACGTCCGCTGAACCGCACACAGCCAGAGACAGATCGCCATACCGCTGCTGGCTGCGCCGGAGGGCATGCGTGCACTAGTCCAAGGACATATACACTGCTGATCGATAGAAAATCCGGTACTGCGCCGGTGCTGCAGCCCAGGGGGCGGCGCCCCCTCCGCTGAGGGGGGCGGCCGCTCCCCGGCCGGTGCTGGCTGAGCACCGCGCCGCGCACGGACGCACACACTGCAGGCTCAACGAGTGTGAAATCAAAACGACGCTGGCCGCCGCAGGCTGGCGACGAGCGAATCGACGTACACGTGCGACCGAATGAGTGCCGCCGGCGCCCCGGACACTAGTGGGCGCCGGCAGAGCGAGCGAGCGAGCCGAATGACTGCCGAGCTGGATGCCTGTGAGTGTCCTGCGTGCGCCTCGCGCTTGTGTGACAAATTGACTGTTGAACGGTTGGCTGGCTAGTTAAATATTTAGGAGAGCGTGTGATGAGCGGAACGGTTAATTATATCGGAGTGAATGAGGCCTGCTTGCAGTTGCGTGGACCAGCCGAGAGCGCGCGTGGAAGGTACACACCGCGTTCGGTGTTTTTATGCTCAGAGTTGAACTCTCCTTTACAGAGTTGAATGGTTTCTGTTGAGGCAGCCATGTCCGTCCGTCAGAGCGTTATCGGAGTTGAACGTTATCGGCTCATATCGGAGCGCTTTCTGTTCGAGTTGTGCGCTGTCCGTTGCGAGCCGAGTGTTTTTTGGTTGCCGAGTTGTGTGCGTGACGCCTTGCGCCGCCCATGTGATGACTCCTTGTTAAGAACGCACAGTGCATGAGACCAAACGCTCCCGACCAATGTCTGTAGATTTAAGTGGTTAACTTTAAGCTCTGTTTCTGCGCTGCCGATGACTTGCTCACTCTCACGGGTTTCAGCGCGCGTCCGGCAGCGCGTTCGACTCCGGGCCCGTGCGGTCCGTCCCGCGCGCGCGGCGCAGCTTCTGACCCCGGCACAGGGCGCGCCCGTTTGTTGTTGACTTCCGTCCGAACCCAGGGTGCTCGGGGGCGCAGCGACCGCCGGCGCCCCGGGCGCCCTCGACGGCGCCCCGGGCGCCGGCCGGCCGGGCGCCCTCTGAGAGCTGTACATAGCTGCGCTGCCGCGTGGCCGCGTTATATTTTTCCTCAATAAATCAGGACGAGACGAGCGCGTCGTTTATGTGTCTGTTGTGTGAGACGGCCCCTGCCATGGGGCGGAGGCTGCAGTGTTTTGTATGCTGCCGACTGCCGCTCGTCGGTCGGCTGACGTGCCGGTTTCGTAAGTAGCCGGGCGCCTCTGAGCGATTGCAGGTCCGCGGCGGGGACCGGCTGGATGCACCAGCCAGGGGCCAGCTGCCCGAGTGGGCGGCTGTCGGAGGCGGGGCCGACAGGGGCAGCTCGGCACCCAGGGCCAAGTGATCACCCGAACTACCCTCGGTCTCTCTTCCACCCTCTCTCTCTTTCCCTCCCTCTCACTGCATTTCCTTCTCCGCAGTTTCAGGAACCGTTTAAGCCCCCACGTGTAAGGAGAGGGTGTGTGAAGGCAGTTGAGCGCCTCTCGCTCGCCCGGTGCGATACCCCGGCGTTCTCCCAGAATCTCGCCGGTGCCGGCCAGCCCGCCGCGCGGTCCGCCGACAGGCGAGCTGCATGGACGGCTTAGCTGGGCCGCCGAGACTGCGCAATGCAGCGGCTGACCGGTGTGGCGGACCGGCCGAGCCCCCTGCCCCCGCCGGCGGTGGCGTAAGAGCCGACCGGGCCGCCGCCGACCGCCCGCGGTGTGTCAAGACGACCTCGTGTCGCCGGTGCCGCGCGGCCGGCCGGCTCCCCGGATCGGGTGTCGCCGCGCTAATGCGCCGTGCTCGCCTCCGGTGCGTCTCATCCGCCGCCGACTGGACGCTCCGACCGACCCGGCACGGCCCGGCCATTGCGACAGAGCGCGCTTTCACTTCAAAGTGGGCTAAACTTCTCGACCTTGCCACTGTGCAACAAATTAAGCATTCTCAAGCGTTAAGTAAGGCTCTTGGTACAGGTGCCAAGTTAAACTGACGATATCCACCAATACCAGTTTTGAAAGGCACGTAAAAGATTGCAGCGATACAAATGGAAATCGGGGTTTAGTAAGACCGGCATTGTTGAGCTGACCTCGGCTCGAGCCATCAATGATACCGTTTTCGGGGTTTGGAAGATGTCATTATTGATGCCCAGTGTTACAAAATTCGCTGCGGGAAACATCAGATAAAGTCAGAGATAGCCAGCTATCGACAAAACGATTCGTGAACCAGTTGTTAGCGGAGGGCGGTAACCGATGCAATGCAGCAGTAATGTCACCGTGATCAATATTGGTCCGGATACGTCAGTTGGTCTCCGCTCTAGCATGCACCCACCAGACGGCTGGTTACCCCGCAGAGTTTCTGGATAGGTAGTTGCGCCGCCCGCAAACTATGCCTGTAACGAGCTGCGAACTCGTTCACTGCCCCGCATCCTCTGGCGCTGCCTGACGTCATACGTTCCGGCGGTGGGAACATGCAGGTATGCCGGGTCACTGGAGCGGGCCGCCGGTCACACCACCGACCGGAACTCGGGAGAGAGCCGTGACGTCACAGTCAGCTCACACCTCGGTCGTCTGACGTCACCGGGGGCCGACCGACACCCTGCGCCACCGGCGGCAGAGGCGTCCGACACCCCTGCGTGCCACCGGCGGCAGAGGTGTCGCCAAGGTCGCCAGTAGCCGGGCCTCTGAGCGCGGCCTCGTGGACACGGTCCTCCACGAGTCTCACAGACGGTCGAGCGGGCTCAGTCGCAGCCCGTCAGGGTCTACAGCCCATTATATAAGATAAGCAGCATCTAACGATGTCTAGCTCGCCGGCCCGCCGCCATATTGGATACAATCCGCGCGGAATCCGCACGGCGCCGGCGATTTTTGTAATCGCCCAGGACCTGCATAACTCGTTTCGAGGGCAATGTGGCGAAGATGTCCTGTGAAACCACCATATAACGAAACAGTCTCCCGTTATCTACACGAGGTGCAATTAGCGCCTGCGACAGTAGGTAATGGTTGGTCGTATAGATTACACCAGTCTCTGACATGAAAACTGCTGATAGCCGTGTAAAACACCATGACTTGGTGCTAGCCTTTGACGTGGACCATGGACACGACACGTGTTGCGACCTCAGGGCGCATTAATCGGATCCCGGCCTCTGCTAAACACGAGGCACTGACCTCACAGTCACGCACTGTGACAGCGGATGCGGATGTACGCGGCGCACTGGACCGCGACTCTGGAGACGAGTACTGGGCGGACAAATCCACGACTCAGATCACGACCCACGCGTCTGTCTGACACCCATTATCCGCGCTGTATTAAAAGTCCATACCCAGTATGTAGACAGTAGCTCAAAATCAGCCCCCTAGTCGCTCATTTGTGTGAGCTTCAAACGTCTGTCTGAAGTATAGGACTATATGCTATGGAATCGCATGCTCCATATCCCTTCTCACCGACTCATTATATTTATATCCATTATCCACAGATCTGCCTTATACCAATACGTCTCTTCTAGTTCCTCGTGACTGCATCATCCACACCCGTCTACATAATACACACACGCATACATGATGTCCTTTCACACGTTCGGTAAGCAACAAGCAACTCAGTATTTGTTTCGTATATTGGTACAGCACGCCCCCGATTTATCCCACAACTGGTGCGGTCACAGTCCGCGCACATTTGGAGTAATGATATATCACTGACGCTTCATTCAGCACACCGTCTATTCTATAGTTGCATTGATTTTAACTAAACTGCGTTTACTACTAAAGCATGATGCATTCCGTCTCCATCTCTGATCTCATAGTGAGCAATCATAACATCTCGCAGCTAAGAGCATAACTGTCGGCTCGTCTCGGAGGGTTTCTCTGCAAATCGGCACCGATCAGTGCACGCTGGAATTTCGCGCCGCTCACACGATGCCTAAATTGGACGCGGCAATCGGAGGCGCCGTCACAGGCGAGACACACCAGCTGGCAGATAGGGGCGGCTCGCCCCTCCATCCCGCCACACACAGCGCGCTCACCGCCGGCCCACGGTCCGCCCGCGCGCGTCACTGAGGCGCCCCGAGCGGCGTCCCCCGTCCTCCCGAGGGCCGTACCCATTGAAAGGGGCGGCATTACCCTACCCAGGGGCCGTTTTGCCATCTTCCTAGGTGACGTTACCACCCCTCCCTACAGCCGCCCTCTCAGGGGGTAGGGATCCCCAGCAGACCATTGGCTGCACGGCCCTGCCCGCCCTCCGACTAGATATCCTCCGCCCACTGTCCGACAGCCCCCCCCCCCCACTCCGTGCCCCCCCCCCCCGGCCGCAGCTGGCCACCTGGAGAGCTCACTGGTCCAGGGTACAGATACTTGGTGCTCAACTGTTCAGTATACCCTGTATGAAGCTCGGGCGGCAACTAACATATATGATTGTGCGCTCTGGTATGATAAACTGTAGCAACTACTAGTGAAAATGATATGAGGGATAATGTCTACCGGTAAATATACGCGCACCCATTCCCCAGTATAGCTCCCGGCCGCCCAAAGTTTGACCGGCTGGGCGGTGACTGCCCCGCGGCAGGTAACACGAACACGGCGGGTCGCCGCCCCCTCATATCTCTGCACCGGGGTCACCATGAGCACGTCCACCAGTTGTACCAGTTTGGTGAGCCGGCGCGGCGCGCGGCTCCGGCCGGCGGGCTTATATAACGCTCTCCGGCCGCCGGCGCCCGGCAGAGACCGCCGCTCTAGGAGCTCTTCTGCTTGCCGATGGCGTCCCTCCTGAGCTCCTTCTGCAGCTCCTCGCCCAGAGACATCCACAACCAGGAGGGCACGTTCGAGCAGACAAAGTACTGAAACAGCGGGACCAACGTCAGAGAGACACGAATACACGGCGGGATTAGGGATTCAAGGGTGGAGACTTCCATTTCGCGTCTAGCTAGACGCGTCTAAGTCTTAGACGCGTCCAGCTGGACGGCCGCTGCGGTCTATCTGGCAACGGATAAATTTAGACGCGTCTAGCTTGGAAGTCTCCGTCCAACAGTTAGACGTCAAGTTAGACGCCAACTTGGACGTCTGCTCAGTTAGACGCCAGTTGGACGCCAGTGGAAGTCTCCACCCCAAGTGTTCAAGATATCGAAAACTTCGTGACCAGTCCGCTAGTGGGCTACGAAATAACAGCGTAGCAGCGCACCAGTGTCAGAATAATGGGAAATCTCGAGTTGAGCCAACTCAATCAGAAAAAAATGCAAGTTGTGTCTAGTCATCATGAACGCTGTACCAATGACAGCCGAACAGGCTTCACGATACGTTAGCTACGACTGACCAATCATCAATCAATCGGTTCCCGAGCTCGGGAAAATCCATCACCCACTCACTAACCACCAGGCCCAATCAGTCACAAAATAAACAGCGCTGCCGCCCGTCCACACACTGACGTCACGGCCCGTCCTCCGCTGATGTCACTTATCTGTCCTCCGCTGACGTCACTAATCTGTCCTCCACTAAAGTCATGGCCTATCCTCCGCTGACGTCATTAATCTGTCCTCCGCTGACGTCACTAATCTGTCCTCCACTAACGTTACGGCCTGTCCTCCGCTGACGTCATTAATCTGTCCTCCACTGACGCCAAGGCCCGTCCTCCGATGACGTCACCGTCACTGACGTCACTTATCTGCCTCCACTGCCGCCTCTGGCGTCTCACCTGCAGTTCGTGGGTCCAGTAGCCGGTGGTCGACTCGAGTCGGCCCAGCGTGCGCACACAGCTGTCGGCGAACGTCGGTGCGTCCGGCACGAACAGGTTGGCGCGGCCGATCTTGTCAGAGTACGCGGTCATGTTGGTGGCGATGTAGAACGGCATCACGGTCTGCACGGTGACGCCGTACGGACGGTACTCGGCCGCCAGCGCGCGCGAAAAGTACTCCAGGAATTTCTGCAGGAACAGCGGCAGGGTCAGAGACCGAGCGGTCGAGAGAGGGGAGATTACGAACCGGGGAACCAACGGAACAAGACACGGAATATGTCGATAAGAAAGACGCCAACTCGAGGCAGACTGTGCAGTACAGTATAATTGTGCGTTGGAAAGTGCGCTATATCTAGAACCAAAGAGGGTATTCATGGCTAGATCACACACAAGACTGGTCTGTGAGCATTCCCAGGCAGATCTCCAGCCAAGGACAAAATGCGCGCTAAATGCGGAACTTCTTTGCTGTCCATTTTTAAATGGCATGAAAACAAGATGACCCTGAAGATATAGCGCTATGCGCCTGATTATTGCAGCAGAGGTGCCCACGCGAACCGCATCTCCGGCACACGTCACCAAACCGCCGAGGCCGCGGAGGGAGGGGGGGGGGGGGGGCATCCTGCGACGGTCCCCGCTCCCTCTTATGTCACAGTGATTGCCAAGGTTGGAAATCCTCCACCCAAGGTCACGATCCGCTGTGAAAACCCACTCAGATCCCTACGTTAGCACCCCGTGCCATTTCAGCATCACCGGGCAGACTCGCAGCTCTCAGTAAGATATAGACAGGCTCGCCAAACTAACCATGAGCTCGTCCTGAGCATTGCCAGCCCACCTCTCAGGGTACCTAACCTGTCCCGTCCCGACCCGTACCTTCGAGGCCGAGTAGATGTTCATGTGGGGCATCGGTCCGATGGCGGAGCTGGAGGAGATATTGACCACGGCGCCGCGGCCACGCGCCACCATCCCCGGCAGTACGAGCCGGGAGAGCGCCGCCGCCGGAGCCACGTTCACCAGCACGTGGCGCCACACGTCCTCCTCGGACACGTCCGCGTGCCGCATCGGGTACGGCAGCATCACACCGACGTTATTCACTGCGGTACCACAGACAGGGGGTCAGGGTACGGCAGCATCACACCGACGTTATTCACTGCGGTACCACAGACAGGGGGTCAGTGGGGCGGAGCAGCTGAGGTAGGAGGCAGAGGAGACGGTCACGAGCCGATGGGAGGTGAGGAGGGGGGGGGGGGCTGACATTCGGCGCAGAAGGAGCCGCCGATGTCACGGGCGCGGGCCCCGTGTCGCAGTAGGAGAGCAGACGGGAGGGGTGGGAAAGGTGAGGGGGAGTCGGGAAGACTGACGTGAGGACGCTGCACGGCGCCAGAAACGGCGCACTAAGTATTACGTATTTTACCGTAAGAGATAGCGTCACAGGGATAACGACTCAAAGCTGGTGTAAGGTCAGGATCTTGCGAGGAATGGAAAGATACTTGCCTGTGGTCTCAACTAGGACCGTAACGGTATCACAACATCTCATGTAAAGGCCTGGCTACACTATGCGTTTTCTGCGTGCGTTTTTTGCGTGTTTGCGTGTTTTGCGTGATATCGTGCTAGTAAAAAACGGTATTACGTTTTTGTAATGTTATTTTTCATATTCAATTTTAGCTAATATAAGAATTGCATTACCTTTTATACATAACTTATGTAAAAGTTTTATTAAATATAGCTTTCTTCTAGAACGATATTACGCAAATCACGCAAACACGCAAAAAACGCACGCAGAAAACGCATAGTGTAGCCAGGCCTTAACAATAACTGGTCAGTGACTTCAACTGGGACTGTAACAGTATCACCACAATGCCCCTGTAACGATAACTGGTCAGTGACTTCAACTGGGACTATAACAGTAGCACCACATCCCATGTAACGATAGCTGGTCAGTGACTTCAACTGGGACTATAACAGTAGCACTACAATTCCCCTGTAACGATAGCTGGTCAGTGACTTCAACCAGGACTGTAACAGTATCACCACAATGCCCCTGTAACGATAACTGGTCCGTGACTTCAACTGGGACTATAACAGTAACACCACATCCCATGTAACGATAACTGGTCAGTGACTGCAACTGGGACTGTAACAGCATCACCACAATTCTCCTGTAACGATTACTGGTCAGTGACTTTAACTGGGACTATAACAGTACCAGTAAAACGCCTTTTGGGCGACCAACGGAGCGAGCGAGAGGACGGGCCTTGCACGTGCGAAATTGCGAGGGGGTACCTCCAACTAACTTGTGCACTGCACCCTACTAACCGGTCTTTAGCGATGTGCCAAATTTCAGCGCAATCGGCCTAGCCGTTCTCGAGATCTGGAAGCGGCACACTGCACGTGCGCACGTGCAAGCGGGGTCCAAACTGACTTTTGCACGGCACCCTACTAACTGGTCCCCAACCGTGTACCAAATTTGAGCGCAATCGGCCCAGCCGTTCTCGAGATCTGGGAGCGCCCCCTGCACGTGCGCACGTGCTGTAGCACCCCAACCTGAACACATGCAGATGAATTATCTGATGGAGACCTAACTGTGTACCGAGTTTCAATTCAACCGGCCCAACCGTTGTGCCGTTATTGAGGTTGCAATTTTGGGGGTTCTTAAAAAATGTCCAACTTTACCACGCGCCACGTGCGGTGGTTGGCAAGAACGCATGGTGGCCATCACACCACAGAACTTTTACGTCCAAGTGACATTCAGTAAAGAAGACCGCTTGTCAATCGGATGTCCCGTTCCTAAGATATTAGCTTTTGAAGAGCGTCCCCACGGCCGGCCGGCCGGCCGGCCGGCCGCTCATACTCAGGATTTTCCCTTAATTCAGTATGAGACTCCGCTCGCTTCGCTCGCTCCGTAATCACCACAATTTCCCTGTAACGATAACTGATTAGTGACTTCAACTGGGACTATAACAGTATCACCACAATTTCCCTGTAACGATAACTGATTAGTGACTTCAACTGGGACTATAACAGTAGCAACACATCCCATGTAACGATACCTGGTCAGTGACTTCAACTAGGACTGTAACAGTAGCACCACATCACATGTAACGATAGCTTGTCAGTAACTTCAACTAGGACCGTAACAGTAGCACCACATCCCATGCAACGATAGCTGGTCAGTGACTTCAACTGGGACTATAGCAGTATCACCACAATTCCCCTGTAACGATAACTGGTCAGTGACTTCAACTGGGACTATAACAGTAGCACCATAATTCCCATGTAACGATAGCTTGTCAGTGACTTCAACTGGGACTATAACAGTATCACCACAATTCCCCTGTAACTATAGCTGGTCAGTGACTTCAACTGGGACTATAACAGTGGCACCACAAATTATTCCCCTGTAACGATAACTGGTCAGTGACTTCAACTGGGACTATAACAGTATCACCACAATTCCCCTGTAACGATAACTGGTCAGTGACTTCAACTGGGACTATAACAGTATCACCACAATTCCCCTGTAACTATAGCTGGTCAGTGACTTCAACTGGGACTATAACAGTGGCACCACAAATTATTCCCCTGTAACGATAACTGGTCAGTGACTTCAACTGGGACTATAACAGTATCACCACAATTCCCATGTAACGATACCTGGTCAGTGACTTCAACTAGGACTGTACCAGTATCACCACAATTCCCCTGTAACGATAACTGGTCAGTGACTTCAACTGGGACTGTAACAGTAGCACCACATCCCATGTAACGATAGCTGGGCAGTGACTTCAACTGGAACTATAACAGTAGCACCACAATTCCCCTGTAACGATAACTGGTCAGTGACTTCAACTGGGACTATAACAGTATCACCACAATTCCCCTGTAACTATAGCTGGTCAGTGACTTCAACTGGGACTATAACAGTGGCACCACAAATTATTCCCCTGTAACGATAACTGGTCAGTGACTTTAACTGGGACTATAACAGTATCACCACAATTCCCATGTAACGATACCTGGTCAGTGACTTCAACTAGGACTGTACCAGTATCACCACAATTCCCCTGTAACGATAACTGGTCAGTGACTTCAACTGGGACTGTAACAGTAGCACCACATCCCATGTAACGATAGCTGGTCAGTGACTTCAACTGGGACTGTGACAGTATCACAACATCCCATGTAACGATAGCTGGTCAGTGACTTCAACTAGGACTATAACAGTAGCACCATAATTCCCCTGTAACGATAGCTGGTCAGTGACTTTAACTGGGACTGTAACAGTATCACCACAATTCCCCTGTAACGATAGCTGGTTAGTGACTTCAACTGGGACTATAACAGTAGGTATCACCACAATCCCCTGTAACGATAACTGGTCAGTGACTTCAACTGGGACTATAACAGTAGCACCACATCCCATGCAACGATAGCTGGTCAGTGACTTCAACTGGGACTATAACAGTAGCACCACAATTCCCTGTAACGATAACTGGTCAGTGACTTCAACTGGGAGTATAACAGTAGCACCACATCCCATGTAACGATAACTGGTCAATGACTTCAACTGGGACCGTAACAGTATCACAACATCCCATGTAACGATAACTGGTCAGTGACTTCAACTGGGACTATAACAGCATCATCACAATTCCCCTGTAACGATAACTGGTCAATGACTTTAACTAGGACCGTAACAGTAGCACCACATCCCATGTAACGATAGCTGGTCAGTGACTTCAACTGGGACTATAACAGCATCATCACAATTCCCCTGTAACGATAACTGGTCAATGACTTTAACTAGGACTATAACAGTAGCACCACATCCCATGCAACGATAGCTGGTCAGTGACTTCAACTGGGACTATAACAGTAGGTATCACAATTCCCCTGTAACGATAACTGGTCAATGACTTTAACTAGGACTGTAAGAATATCATCACCGTGTATCCACAGCTCCTGTTTGGAATTATTATTTCAGTGGAAAGTTTAGCACCAGGTTTATATCAGCATCATAGTCGTTTACGGCCCTGATAATGGCGACAGATCAGCGGTCTAAATCGCTGGGAAGAGCAGCTAGTTTGTGGAAATTTGCGGTGACTGTGATTGGACGAACCAGTCCCCATCGGGATCACCGCTCAAGTGAAACAAAAATCACCTCGGCGTGCCTGCAGCCGGTAAATCTCCCAAGTCAAGGCCAGTGGACTTCCTCATGGCACGGGGCCAATGCGGCCGGCGCGGACCTCCGGTAAGATGTGAACAAGGACACGGGGGGCCGGCCGGGCGGTCCACGCTCACCCAGGCCACCACTGAATTAACCCCATAGCCCGCCGGCTCAGTGCGTACTACGGCGGCCGGGGCCGGTCCGTCTGCGCGCCTGTCCGCCCGGGCCACTGACCCAGTATGCCGATGTCGAGGCCGCGCGTCTTCTCCTCGATGGGGCCGTACACCTGGCGGCCCTGACTGAAGTCGGCCGCCACGGTCACCACCTCCGAGCCAAACTCGTGGCCTGAAACGCAACAGAGCGACACTGTTAGCAATGCATACATACCTGAAACATCGGCCAAGGACACTGACAGCAATGAAAAAAGAAATATAAGCCGCGAGACACAAGCCGCTTCCACGTTTGAGAACTAACACTCGTGCATCAGAATAGAATGATTGAATGAAATAAAATCAGAAAATGCAGCACTTTCATCGAGTTTGACGCTGCAACGTCAAGGGTAGATGTGCGAATGATCATTTTAGACGTCGTCAAATCCCCATCCCGTGCAACGTATCTCGTGCATACACTGACGACCCACAACGTCAATGGATGAATATGCAATGAATTCAGTCGATGCCATGGTAACCTAGCCACTTCCCAACGGATGACTCACTGGAAAGTTTCCATACATTTTTCTCCCCGGCTTCTGGAAAGAGTCGTCGGATCTCGTCGTACGGGGAGTGTCAAGTCGTCGCCCTGACGTGGATACCTCCGGAGCGGCGGGCGGATTTCCCAGAAGGACGGCGTGGCGCACCGACCGCCGCACAGTGGCCCTTTTTCAGAATTAGCACGCATAAATTCAAAATATTTTTTCTCTTCTTTTGAATAAAAAGCAGTCTAATCGTGTGCAAAACATTCCGAACTATCCGATGGTGCCATTTCTACCTCCTAAAAAATAATTACCTTTGGTAAAACTGACCGCAAAGTCGAAGTTTGTCGAGAGGCGCGCGGACACCACCGGCGGACCGTAAAAAGTAGGGTGAGATGAACATCAATTTGTAAGACTTTCGATGAGAAAATATTAAAAGTTAGTGGCATGGCTGTGAAGTTGAGTTTACGTGGAAGCCCTAGAAACCACTATTTTCATTGTATAAACTCAAATAGACTACTTTTGCCGAATATTGTGGACACAATAACAGGACAATTATTAACTGGAGATGGCGACATACATATGAAGCTTTATGTTAAGTAGCACACTCTGGAACATATCGTATTATACATCGTTCGAATCGCCGATCTCTTCTGACCATGTCCACCAAAGGGCATCGCGCCATTTTGCGCCATTTTACTTCCACGGTGGATAACGTGAGCCAGTTCAGTCCGCGAGCGGCTGTGGCTCCTGTTCGATGCGACTAAGCTCATTGACCTGGCTCGAAGCTGGTGTCACCTGGTGTGCGCCTAAATCTGGCTCGACTTTTGCCATAAGATGTGCTAATTGAAATGTCATGTAGGCATAACGCTGTGCCCAAGAAAAACTGTCCGATTACTTGCCGCGTTTGATGTCCAAGCCGCACAAGTCCCGTGGTCGGCTTAAGATCTAACGTCAAAAGCGCCTATGTGTTTGCATTGTTCGCGTCGCGCTGACCTTAGTTGCTGCCCGGCCGGGGCCGAATACGGTGGCTGGCAACAGCTGTAGATGCGGTCATGTGACGCCCTGGGGCGTCCTGGCGGTCAGTGCAGCGTGGTCGGCTGGCGGGCTCGCCACACTTGCGTTCGGAGCGGCCTGGGCCGGCGGGCGAGCCGTGCGAACGTGCGCCAAATCTTGGGCCGAGCGGCCTGTCGCTGTTGGGCCGAATCTCCTTGGGCAGTTCGTTTCTTTTCTTCTCTTTGTCTTTGCATTGGCAGGGAATACGTCCTTGATCACGTGGTGATGTCTTGCACCACTTTCAGGTAATGTGGGAATTAATGCGTGCTAATTCTGAAAAAGGGCCACTGTGCGCCGGGCCGTAACCAGCAGGGTTGTGCTCGACTCAAAAAAATTTGCCGACTCGACTCATCATTCAACTTCAGAATGCCCTGACTCAACTCTGACTCAAACAAGGAGCTGATTTTTTCCCTCGACTCGACTCATGACTCAAGCGGCTCAATGAAAATATGAGTTGACTCAAACTTGACTCCAATTTTTTGTTGAGTCAAGTGTGTTGACTCAAAATTGACTCAGATAAAAAAGTTGTTGAGCGGGGGGGGGGGGGGTGAAAAAATCCGTCAGCAGGGCCAGGCCTAGGTTGTTGAGCGAGGGAGAATGAAAAACTTATACTATATATTGTTTCTAGAAATTTTAGTCAGCTGACTCATGTTCCTAAATGTTTTTGACTCAACTCAATGTCAAAAGTTATTTTACTGACTCAACTCTGACTCAACTCAACACCTTAATATTTTTGTCCGACTCAACTCTGACTCAACTCAACAGCTCAACATTTTATCCGACTCGACTCAAATCTGACTCATTTGAGTCAGAGTTGAGTCAAATTTCTGACTCGACTCATGAGTCAAGCACAACCCTGGTAACCAGTTTACACGAGATCGGCACGGCTACTAACTGCGCTCAACAGGGCTCCGCCAGATCTCAGCCGCTCCGGCTACTCCGAGACGGGTCTGGAACCTTCGGAAATGACGTCCACTTAACCCAATCGAGAAAAAATCCCCACTAGATAGAGTGTGACTTCTAAAAGTTCACGAGTGCCAATATTCATTACCAGGGTGCTTCAAAAGTTGCCGTAATTGAGACGTAGTAACAAAACTTGAAGAGCTTAGAATTTACTCAACGAAATTTCCGAATTCGGGAACCATGGAAAACATTCAGCCCGTGTTGTACATGGTACAATGCTTACGTCTCACCTACTAAGTTTGTCGGTGCTATTACGATTCACGGACGATATTGAGCTGATCCGTGGGATCGCAGCCCGCCCAGATCCGCACTGGGCCGGCCCTGACCGCATTTCATTTCATTTCATTTCATTTATTCTTTTATCACCAACGGGCGTTACCCCAATGACAGATGAAGTCAACAAATAAAACATTGACACACACTAAACAAGCACAGTAAAAACGAGCACAGTAAAAACAAAGCAGACTAGAAACATTTGTTTCCAGTAACAGCCGAACAGTTACACCTACCTATCTGTGTCTCCAAACAAACCTCTGCCGGGTGTGGCTGAGTGTTACAGACGCCGCTCCCGATCCCCGGCGCCGCACCCTGCCGTGCGTAGTCCGTACTACTCCAACGTGCTAGGTACTTTAACGCCGACGCCGGGCCGCCGCCAGGCCGCGTTTCTGTGCAGCGTCTGCCGCCGCCGGCCGGGGATGGAGCGTCTAGCGCGGGCCGGGGATGGAGCGTCTAGCGCGGGCCGGCGATATGGAGCGTCTGCCTCCGTGGGCCGGGGATGGAGCGTCTGGAGCGTCTGCCGCCGCCGGCCCGGGATGAGGCGTCTAGCGCGGGCCGGCGATATGGAGCGTCTGCCGCCGCGGGCCGGGGATGGAGCGTCTGCCGCCGCGAGCCGCGGATTCCGAGGGATCGACCCTGAGCAGTAACACCGGCGCCGAGCGCGGCTGGCTAACGACCCCCGCGGTCCGGCCGCCGGCTCCAGGCCGCTGCAGGGCCGCCACCGGCCCGGGCCCGCTCCGACCGGCCAGAGACCGGCGGGAAATTCCGGCGGATTCGGCCGCCGCCGAGCCGGCCATGGAACCCGACTTTGTGCACGTCCGACTGAGGATATCACCATACATATGACTTTAGAACAAAGGTACCGTTTATTCTCTTAGGATGAGTACTATCAGCACGATAATCTGCTTCACTCCGATTCGTTTCTTTTTCTTATTGTACCGTATCTATACCAACCAAAACGGGGTATGCTAAGCATATGAATCACATACGCATATCGCAGTCAATCTGCATATGGATCCGCCATCTCTTTCCTTAGCGTCCAGCGTATTTGCGCATTTGGGGATGGGCACGAATAACGGGCTTCAGACCGAAGCGACTTGTCACGAGCGGTGAGCTGCTCCCAGCGCGTGAGGCACGTCTGCGTCACCGAGGTCCGAGGCCGATCTATCACATCTGCCCGACTCCACATCTTCCTGCCCATCAGAGAGAGCCGGAGAGGTGGGAAAGGAGCGCTGCGCAGCCCTCAGACGGCTCGCCGGGAGCACTTTCAGCACATCAGTTATTACGAGACTTAAATATGACATGTGTTCCATACATGACTGCTACCAGTGTCCCAAAATATTTCGATTCGGGTGGGAAACGACATCCAAATAAAAATCATTTTGCACTCTCATCTCTAATATATAAGAGCAATTTTCCACTCCCAGCCTTACTGAGAGTAAGCATTTGCATTGGGTCGTTTTAATATTGAGAACATTTTACCTTATTATATAGAAATGTATGCAAATAGTTCACTTTCACGAAATTATTTTTTTTTGCAACGATTTATCATTTTTTATGTTCAAAATAATCAGCAAAGAAAATAAAACCTTTTTATAACAAAAGATTTTTTTTCTATATTTTGATATAGGAAGAACTTTTCAGTTTCTGTAAGGCACACGCGATCCAGTATGAAAAGAGCATGGGTCCCGAAAATTCTTCAGAAACAGAGAAATTATCGCAGCCACCGGCATTTGGGCGATCTGCTCGATCTGATAATGTTCCCCTGAATGTCCTAATTGATCAGTACGAGAATTTCTCTAGAGTTCTCGTAGATAATTTCTTTAGTTTCTGAAGAATTTTCGGGACCCATGCTCTTTTCATACTGGATGGAAATTTATGCAAGGCACACATCCTCAACGCAATCGGGACGAGAAATAGAATATCTTTGCCTAGGGTGATCGTTGGGCTGTAAAAGCTCCTGATTTATGCTCGTCTCAGCCCAAGCTACGGAACTGCTATTCCAGTTCAAAACCCATGTTAAAAAGTGAACTATTTCCTTTAATCTCTTTTCCACTCTTTTTGGGTGTTATCTGACCGGGGAGTTTTCCACTCTTACCCCCTTTTTGGAGAGGAATTTTCCCTCTGACACCCAAGCCGAAACACAATTTTGGGACACTGCTGCTACTATTCCGATTAAAGGAAAAGGTGCTCCCCATTTCCCGGTGAGGAAAAATAGTTAACTTAGGTATTATTTATCATTGTGCTCATGGTAGGCGCCACCAAACAAAGGAAGAAAAGCGAGGGAGCGAATCAAGTAGGTACCAAGCGTTAGAAAAACCAGAGACGTGCAGTTTGCGACAGGAAATAGTAAAAAGCACAATATCATTGATAAACAAGCGAGGCTGTTCAGTCAGCATCAGATACTGGTGACTGCATCCAATCAGAAACGTCGCACTTATTTGATTATCGAGACTAATTTAGGGCGTCCCGGCTACGAAGGTCACATCCCGCCCATACAGAAACGTCGGTACCTGTCCTCGCATACAGAAATCATAAAATATCAACAAAATAAAATCAACCACTTAAAATATCCGTGACTGCTTATATGGCTTTGAATACGTATTGCAAAGGTACTTTAAAAAATCACCTTCAAAAATAAAACTGAAATATTTTGAGCTAATATAAAAGCCCGAGACTATAACAAAAAAAAAACTTGAAATGTCGGGCCTTGCAAGTGGCAGTGATACCAATTGGTGAAATGTTTCCAACCATGCATTGTCATTAACGATTTCGGCATAATGTTGAGAAAAACGCGGAAGAACATACGATAGACTTTGTCGTAGCATTACCGTGTTCAAGTGCCACTTTCGCCATCATTTCGTTTCAAACACCCCGAACCGATGAGTTGGTACACGATACACACAGCGCACCCTCTCCGCCCACCCGTGTGTCAGCGGTCCGGTGCCGTGTGTCAGCGGTCCGGTGCCGTGTGTCAGTGGTCCGGTGCCGTGTATCAGTGGTCCAGTGCCGTGTGTCATCGGTCCGGAGCCGTGTGTCAGCGGTCCGGTGCCGTGTGCCAGTGGTTGGTCCGGTGACAGTCCCCGGTCCCGTACAGGTGGCGCGCCGCTGTCGCAGTGTCCCGTACAGGTGGCGCGCTGCCGTCCGTCGCCCCACCACTGTCGCTATACTCACGGAGCTCGCCGGCAAAGTCGTCCAGCTTCTGCTGGCTGCGGCTGATGAGCACCATGGAGCAGCCGCGGCGCGCCAGCTCGCGCGCGTAGGCGCGGCCAACGCCGTCCGTGCAGCCGGTGACCACTGGTAGAGGGGGAGAGGGAACATGTTACTGCCCGGCCCACACTGTCCGTGCAGCCGGTGACGACTGAGTGACGACAGCAGGAACGCTTAGAGACATGTGCTGGTACACTCGGGGGCAGATTGATGTTCCACCACTCCCTAACCATCGGGCTCCCATGGCTCAGCACTGGCTGCTGCCAGTGGCAGCACTGGCAGCACTGGCACTGGCAGGCAGTGCTGAGCAGTGCTGAGGGCAGGCAACACTGGCAGCAGCCACTGCTGATCCATGGGAGCCCGATGGGTAGGGAGTGGTGGAACATCAATCTGCCCCCGAGTGTACTACAAAGTCGGTCTATGCCCATCTGCACAGCGAAAACCACCATGAAACGACAGTGCAGGGGGAACTGCAGTTAGTGGCATGTGGAGACACTTAAAACAAGGATAATAAAGAACCAGAACAATTTCACTAGAGGAGTCACATTACAGTGAACATTCAGATGTGAAATAACATGGTTGGCAGCCCACACTGTCCATATTGTGTAAAATCAAAGCTGCGGAACTGACAGATAAAGGAACAGCAAGAGCAACTCACATCAGGAAAGGCCAAAAAGGCAATTGCACAAAGGTTTGTACAGGGAAAGAAACTGGTCAACTTTTTTGTGCAGTGACCTAGCAGATCACAGTGAAGCATCAAACTGATGGATTTGATTTCAAAGGTGCATATCCACATTGTTCAAAGGTAGTTGATGCAACAGGTTTGTGGCCATCATCTATGCTTTCGCCTTTCGGACCTCATCACAAAAAATATCCTGTAATGCAGATGCTCAATTTGGGTGCCTATTTCTAATTGAATATTTGACATCTTGATTTTTTTATGGAAAAAATGTAAAGAGGATTTTTCTTCTCTGTGAACTGATAACACATTAGTTACCTTCAGCCCACTGCTGGTAGCATGAAATGCAAGCAGCTTATATGATAAAAAAACGTGTTACTGCACCATAGAGCATACATGTCAATTTCAATGACATCTCAAAAGCATGCTCATCAACTGCATTATTTTTGGTCTTTATTCACAACTGCTCCTTACACCTTTTCAAACAACACTGTCATACATTACAATTAAGGAATAGCACTGCCTATGCCCACGGTCTCTTACCTGCCCATTTGCCATGCTGCAGGACACTGGTTCTGGTAAATCGTGGCAAGAAATGGCCTCTGATCAAAGAATATACAAATCTGATAAATTTGATTAGAATCTTCAATGATGTTATTGCTCCAATTGCCGCAAGGGCATTTTTAACAGTGATATATGAACCAGTACCAACTAACGCTCCAGCATATGATGACATGGCAAGATCAAAATAACGGGAGGGAATTTAAACGTCTTAGCAGTTGGCACACTTTCAACTGCGGTGGACTAGTTCAGTTACTGGTCTATGTAGGTAGGTCGTTCTCAAGCAATGTCACATGTTGACAATAAATGCTTGGTTTCTTGATGATAAGATTCACTAGATTCACTTGCCCTTTCTCTCACTGGATTTAAAAACCACCGGAAATATTCACGACACAAAAAAAAAACGCGCTGCACCGTCCCGGACCGAAATCCTTGCGAAATCCCCCGCAGTAAAAGCTTGGAATTCAGGCATTTATACACAAGAGCAATAGCAATAACAAATGGACCCTGTTCGAGAGGCAGCGTCAGTGGTTGCTAGCGTAAATACACTCCTTGTTACTATGGTAACTAGATCTCAGAGGATTTAACAAATCAGGAATTTGCAGCAGCAGGGAAAAAATTCGTTTTGAAATGCGTAAATACTGGCAGTGGTTCGCATTTGCAAGCTAAAATTATAGAAAAAATACAATAAATGAAAAGCCATGAGGCAAAAATAAAAATCAGTGTGACGTCATTTACTTGAAACAGGAAATTAGCTGCTGGTGAAACATGACAAAGTTCCTTACGAATTGCTGACAAAAATGGCGATATTGTTACATTGATATAAAAACGCTATTTTACAGCCATTTTATGCTAGGAAAATGATGTACGTAACTTGCCTTGGAAATGCAAAAACTGACTCACTTCAATTCGGGCATTGCTCTCTCTAACCAAATTACCTGGACATGCACACGCCCTTCGTGCCTGTTTCATAGGAACGTTAGCATGACTTATGAACAAATCCAACTTTCCTTTATTCTGGCAGAAAAAATAAGAAGTTCTTCCGAGCTGTTTCTCGGCTTTGCATTTTCAGCACAATTCAAGCCAGCCTAATCGCTAATCGAAAACAGTCGCCGGTTAGCGTTAGCGGAAACCTGTTCCTCGTGAAAATAAAGACAAAAACTTGTCAAAGCTGGACCGCCATGAGCCAGAACCCGCCGGCGCCGCCGCTACGAATGCCTCCGGCGCTGACAGCTTATTGCAGTTGACGTCTCACCTGCCCATTTTCCGTATCGGCGTACGTCGGTGCTGGTGAATCGTGGCAGGATGTATCCGATCAGCAGCGAGACGAGCAGGCGCAGCGTGTTGAGCGCCGCCTGGGCGAGGAGCGCCGTCACCACGGCGGCGGCCACCCCTCCGGCGAACACCACCGGTTCCGAGCGCCAGAAGAACTCCATCGTCCTGGGCAGCGGCGAGGGAGGACGGGGCGGCGGGCGGAGGGCTGGTAGACAGCGGGCCTCAGTAGGGCGATGGGCGGCGGTCCTCCGTCGGTCGGCGGCCGGCTGCTGTTGCGGTAGGACCGTCTCGGGTGGTGGGCTCGTCGGCCGCTGTACCGCTGTATAGCGCTGTGTCGGTCAGCCGGGCCCCGGCCGTGGACTGGTGCCAGCCCGCTGACCGGCCGTTGCCGCCGGTGAGATCGGCCGGCCGCCGGTTACACAAGCGACCCTTGCAGCTGGTGACCGTGGCCGGTCCGGCTGACCGGGCCGGGCTGTGAGATCGCCCACTGGATTAACCCCGTCCCGTCAGCTCCCCAAAGAGAATGGCACTTTGGGGAGACATACGGCCTTCAACTTGTTGCAATATATGAGTTTTCGGGTTTGTCATTGGCCCATCCCGGTATTATCATGATGTGCAATGCCGCCGCACCCGCCGTCCGCCTCTGAGGTGCTCAGCACCATGAGCTGAGTAATCAGGGAGGGGGGGGGGTCGGAGTCGGGGATTTAATTCCAGTCTTGGCAGTTTTATTTTCCTTTTTAGCACAGCGTCAACCGCGGCCTTCAAGTCGAGCTGATCCACGGCGAGCTGATCTGCGGCAGCCCCAGCTGTCGAGCTGGGTCAGAGTCCGCTACCACGAACATGATAAATGACAGTCGAACTGAGAACAATTCAGCCGAATGGACAGACGGTGTCCAGTCGGCTGAAGATAAATTATGCATATATTCACCGTTACATTCGCCCATATCCATGCTTGAAACTCAGATGAACATGACACGATTACAGGAAATTATTCTACATTATCCCAAGATGACATTTCAGAGCCGCACCAACATAAATAAACCGCTCATTTTTTTATAAGCGTAGCTTTAGTTCACGAAATGGAGCTTTGCGTTCGCTGACTAGCTTTGCCTACTTCCGTGAGTGGTATTTTTCCGTAAGACCCCAGCCACGCCCCGAGATGATCATTTGTTAACATCTGTTCAGTCAAGGGGCGGCGCTGACCGTCTGACGGGATCACATATCCGGCCATTACGATAGCGGAATTATCGAGTTCGCCGGGTAGTCTCCGATCCAGGACAGCGCCATGTCCTCGAGCACCGCGCCCTTCGGTCTGGATACGACCGTCCGCCGGCTACCCACCGATCCGGGGATCGGCGTCAGACTCACCACAGGGACGGTAATGATCGGTCCCAGCTGGTCCTATATGGAACTACTCCAACCGGTCCCGGCCGGTCGCATCCCCTCGGTCCCGGCCGGTCCTATCTCCTCGGTCCCGGCCGGTCCCATCCCCTCGGTCCCAGCTGGTCCGATATGAGCTACTCCAACCGGTCCCGGCCAGTCGCATCCCCTCGGTCCCGGCCGGTCCCATCCCCTCGGTCCCGGCCGGTCTTATGTACCCACTCGGTTCCGGCCGATCAGACCCTGCTATCTGCGGGTAAAGCACCCGGCTCCTGCAGCCGCTGCTGAGCGGCTCCGCTACTCTGTCCCTTGGTCCGTCCGGTGCCGCCACTGCTCAGACGCTCGGAGAAAGGGAAAGTGCTTAATGAGTGGATCGGCAGGTTCGGTCTCTGCAGAATGGTAACGGTATTCTGCGTAACGCGTCCGTTTCCGAGCTGGTGGGAAGGGCAGCCGTCGGCCGCCACGCGACGGTCCGTCTCTAGCAGATGAATCCAACTGGTTGGAAAGCATGAGGATTAGCGTCATTCCAGTATCGTTATCACTTCTTCCAGTAGTTTTTTTCCTCAATTTTCCAGTATCGGCGTACCCGACAAGTAGATAGGACTTCCCAGTTTAGATTGACCTAAATACCGCAATGAAGACATTCCTATTCTTCCATGGCTCGCCTGACGCATATTGCCCGGCTGTTGAAGATTCCTTAACTACGCCGCAGTCGGAGGTATTCGTAGCCGCCTTCCCTGGCGGTGAGAGCGGCGCAGTTATCCGGCGCGTGCAGAGGACCCCGCAGATCTCGTTAGTTCCCATGGCGTGCTCAATGTTCATGGTAGTGGCGCACTCTGATCAGGTCTGGCCGGGCCGCCGACGTAACTTTCCGAGACCATCTCACCACTGCGAGAAAACTGGTCTGGGGGAGCCGCCGAGGTAACTTTCCGAGACCATCTCACCACTGCAAGAAAACTGGTCTGGGGGCCCGAGCGGTCCAAGCCAGCCGACTGTCCACAGCCGGAGACGCCGGGCGCTGGTCAAGGCACCATCGAAAAGGAGCACCGGTGGAGCGGAATTAGATAAATAAGTTGAAGCGCAAGGTTATTTGGAAACTAGGGAACAATATCAGTTACATCAGTTACAGTTACGTAGTTCACTGAGGTAATTGAACATTCGCATGGCCTAATTCATGTCAATATCTTGCTGCAGTATTTTGTAGCGCCATTTTTGACAGATATACACAAGGTGACACGAGGTCATGCGAATTACGCGCCGCAAGCTGTACTTTGATTGCACAAATGACTTCTTGCACCAGCCAGTTACGAAATCAGCTTACAAGCTGTTCACAAGTAATAATAAAACGTGGGCTCATCCGATGTTAGATGATCGACAAAAACGAGCCGCAAGCCGCTAACTAAAGACGAACTGATTGTAAAGACAAACCCAGAACAGCGGTAAGACGGTGCTGTGTGACATGATAACAGCCCACGGGAGAACATGTGTCAGATACCTGTACAGGGCGAGCCAGGTCACAGCAGACATACCACTGAAAAAGACGGCCGAACATTCCTCCTATGATGGTCTCGCCGGATTGTGGGGGATCACCGCTGGTAGATACACGACCTGCGCTTAGCCGTTGCATTCGCATTTAAGCTACATGGCATGCCATCCAGAATGTTACATGTGATTGCATGCTAGAAGACCAGCAACCACAAAATGCAAAGGAGAATAGGGCAACAATATTTTAACGAGTGTGAAAACTTTAGTTCAAATCGTTTTTCGCTCGAACAGAAAACCGAACTGTAGTCTACGACGAGCGTCCCAAAAGCCAAACACGTGGTCAATCGGCAGCCGTCTCATGGAATGGTTGCGAGTTTATTCTGGCGCCGGTGGGCGTCGCTCAACAAATGTATGTAGGTACACCGTACATAGGCGCGTAAAAACCAAACACCGTCCCGGCTCCGCGCCGCACCTCGTCTCCGTATCTCACTGTACGCCAGACCTCGCCTCCGTGTCTCTCACTGTGCGCCACATACGCCGCCGTAAAACAGCGCCGGTCCGTGCTCTAAGACCGGTGCGTCGCCACCCACCCGGCTGACTGGGAGACGGGGGCCGCGCGGCGAGACGACGCCTCATCACCGTGCACACAGACACACAAACACACACAACAAACAGCAGCAGAAGCGGATACCGCCCCTCACAGAACGGCATGACACGACAGGGGCGCACCGGCGGCCACCAACAGAGGTCTGACCGGACTCCGACCCGGCACGAGTCACCCTGCCCCCCACATCACGAAAATAAAACCCCGCACGCCGTGGCAGGCTGGACGCGGGGCACGCCACACACTGGAGCGGACAGCACCCGTGAACAGAACGTAAAACGGCGAGAGTGGCACAGCCCGGCGGGCGCTCGGGGCCAGCCCCAATCCTCACAGCACTGGCGCCCGGCCGGCGGGCACCTCCCGGCTGCCGGGGCGGCGCACGGGTGCCCCGGACCCTGAGACAGGCAGCCGGCCACCCACCCCGGCTGCCGAGAGCGGCAGGCCAGCTCCTGTCCGGCCCTGGGGGCGGCAGCTCGGCCAGAGAGCAGCGGCCGCCGCTGGGTCGGTGGGCTGATCGCTCCCCCAGCTCGGCACTCGCAGACCGGCGGCCGGTCGGTCCGATCACAGTCTGCCCTCGCTCCCTCCCCGAGACCGGCCCGTCGGCCCGCGCCGGGACACGCCCGGCCGTGCCGTCCCGTCCCCGGGGCGGCCCCAGGTGGGGTAACTGACCCTGTGGAGGCTCTCAGCCGACGCAGTATCATCTGTACAGCCGCGAGAACTCGCGCAGCGCTCTCACCGCGTCCTGCGTCGTCTCGGCACTGCGGCAACACGGAGACAAACTGGGTTAGAAAACGGGACAAAGTCAAAACTCCGAAGTAAGACAGCAGAAATACAGACGCTGGCAGTCAGGAAATGAAAGCACAGTCAGAAGTAAGCCGTGGTGGGACAGAGGCTCTCGATACCTGAAACACAATCGGTTATGGTACCGGGCGTTCCAGCGTACATAAGTCCCCAAACGGCAGGAGTAGGTCAGCGCCGCATTACAGCGGCGTGAACGGTACAGTCACGTGAGCGGGTGCTCCTCTGCAGCGCAGTGGGGAGGGGGAGGTGCTGATGGGGGGGGGGGGCACGCAGAGGTGAAAGTTGTCGGCGAGGACCGGTTTCCGGGCGGACACACGTGGGGAGGGGGCCAGGAGAAAAATACAGACGTAAACATTAGGGCATCTGCAGCGCGTAAATAACCAATGGTGTAGACAGATGAGTGGCGCCATGACCACTGACATCCCCATCGGCGGTGTCTCGGTAAGCGTAAGCAGGCATCCACGAAAACACCGCGCCCAGATGACGTCTGAATACCGTACGGTACGAGCACGATAAGCGAGTCTCAAAATATCACCGCACATGGTCTCACGCAGCCGGCAGTCTTCCTGAATCTGATAACAACTGATGGCTAGTCTTGACAAACTGCAATCTATATGCCATCAAACTGAGATAGCATCTCAAGGATGTGACACAGGCCTTAGTGCCTTCCGGATGTGCCACACGACTGACTATACGTAATATTTTGTTCGCGGCCAACTTTTAGCGGGTCTGAGATGAATCATTCCGTCGCTTTGCGGTCTCAGAGAACGCTTTCGTGATCACATTTAGCCTCAAACTCTGGGAATCTTCATATCCGTGAAAACCTCGCCAAAATATCCAAATCCGTGAGATTTGGAATGGATAAAGTGATCATAAAACTTATAACATCTGACCTTCTGACTCACTTATACATTATGAGCTACGAAAATTGATATGAGCTCGTATAATCTAATTCTGAATCAGATTTGATTTCTGAGCGTATTCAGCCCTGACTTTCCCAGCCACCTTGCAATGGCTCTGGGATAGCGGCCGTGGCGGGGAGTTCGGTGGCACTCTCCGAGTCACAGAGTTCAGTATAACTCGGAAACTCACCTGGTGACGGCCTTGTGGAACTCGACCAGCTGTTTGTGCGTGGCCGTCACTATTCCGCCGGCGCTCTCCGTGGGCAGCGACTTGAGCGTGGCCTCCAGCCACCGACACACCGACTGGGGGGAAAACGGGGGCGGTATTAGACAGATATCAGTCACAGCGGCGCTCAACTGAGGGAGTAAAACAGCAGCGGGGTGAGACAGGGCACCCACTCCCAGCAGCGTGGGAAAAACAAACCATTTCACCCCTTTTCAAATAAAAAAACACCCTTTGCACTAGCAAAATCACGTGAAAGTGGAGCATCACCTATAAATAAGTTGGTCGTTTCGTCGTGATGTGTGTTGTCAGTCACGCTGACATATTGCACGAACCGGTCTGAATCACGGCGATAGATTATCTGGGTTTGAAACACACGCGGCCGATTACATCAACACAACAATGCTGATTGCTGGAGGTAGCTTTTTTAGTGTCAAGTTTTCACGATGAATGAGGACATTCATTTGCCCAATTCCTCGTCAGACTACATTCCCATAAAGGCCGTGTCGTTTGCGACAGGTTTGTTTGGCAACGTTTTGACCTAGTCCGTACCATCTGCACACCAGCACCTGAGGTCGTCCGTCAGCTGTCCACAGTCGCTGGGGAAAGTGGACAACATCGTCGACAGATCGAGCGCGATCATACGTGTCATGATCCCGACTTTCCCGATAAACCGTGTCTGGCCTGTGGTGCAATAAAGACACCTTCACCGTAAAGCAGAGCGCACACCGTACAATGATAGCGCGGCCGGCGCCCCCTGTCGTCGTGCGGCGCAATGAATGACCCGCCGACAGGGCGTCAGCGCTGCCCGCCACTGGTTTCCGTCCAGTAGCTGCCCATACCGCGGCGCCGACCGGCCGTGGGCGGTGTGTAAACAGAGCGGCGGAGCGGGCGGTGGGCGGCGTCCGGCGGCGACAGGGCGCCGGTCCTGCCGCCCAGTAGCCGTCCATACAGCGGCCGGCGGCGGCCCGCACCTCGGCAGCGGCCGGCGGCGTGGTACCGAGCCGGATCGATTCAGCAGCTGGCCGCGCACGGCGGCGCCGGCCGGCCCCGGCCACCAGCCGACCATACGGCGGCGGCGGCGGCGGCGGGCGCTCGGCCGGCCGGCGGCCGCACCTGTCCGCCGGCCGGCCGGTGCCAGTAGCCGCCCATACCGGCGGCCGGTAACACCTGGCCGGCGCGGCCGACAGGGGAGGACTGGCGGAGGACACCGGCCGTCCCCTCCGGCACTCACCAACGACTTAGTCGGACGGCGGGGAAAAGCCAAACTGTAAGGATCCGAAACGTACTGATTTGCAGATTTAATCATAGACTGTCAAGGATAGAGATGGTACAGCACAGGAAGTGATTTTTGCTATGATCTGAGATATCCACGGACACAAAGCGGTCTATCAAGGCCAGGAACGTCAAGAACAAGAGGCTGGAATTTCAGACGTCCTTGATTTAAGAAGCAAAAATAGAAGAGGCAGGAGAGGAAGTGTATTTTTATCACTGATCTTGTATCGTTGATGGCATATGACTATATCTTGTGGAATCGAGGTAGGGCGATAAATGCGGAAAGAGTAGGAATAACCCACTGACTACCTGTACGTGAACTACTCTTGCGTTCTCATCAACCGTCGGTGAGCACCCCTCCATTTCTCACCATCAGACTGTGAGAATCCTTTCCGTTCTCACAACCCATGTATGAGCACCTCTCCGGTCTCATTGGCCCGTCGGTGAGCAGCGGCTCTCAGTCTCACTACCCGTTAGTGAGAACCCCTCCCGTTCTCACTGGCCGGTCTATGAAACCCCTGCCGTGCTGATCAGCTGGTCTGTGAGTATTCCTTCTCACCACGCCAGTGAGCACACATCCGGCTCTCACCACACGTCGGTAAACACCCCTCCCGTTCTCACCACCGAGCAGTGAGAACCCCTGCCGTTCTCATTGCCAGTCAGTGAGTGAGAACCCCTGTCGTTCTCACCGGCCGGTCGGTGAGAAGCGCCTCCATGAACACCTCGCCGATGTCGGGGATCATGAAGCTGGCCACGCAGAACAGCGTGGCCTGGATGAGGTTGCCGACGAGCGCGGCGCCGAACTCGGCGAAGGCAGCCGCCACCAGCTGGCGGCGCTCGTCAAAGTCGTCCCGCTCCTCGTACTTGCGGCCCCAGCGCAGCAGCTCCGACAGGTACTTGGTCACCGACGCGTTGGCGTCTCTGCGGAGAGAGGGGGAGGGGAGGGGAGGGTCAGAGGGGTCAGAGGGGTCAGTGGCAGATGTGGGGAAGGGCGAGTGTCTGGGGATGAGTGCGGACAAGGCCCGAAGGTGCGGCAAAGTGCGGGGTTGAATCATGGCTCAGACGCAGCTGTGAGGAAGATATGGCCGGTGAGTTGAGCTGTGAAAATGCTGATGAAGACGACTTTCGCTGTGCAGCTGTGACGGAGAACGAGGGACAATATGACGGGATATGACGGGAAACGTGTGGTATAAGAGAGGAGCGTCATAACAAATGTCGTTGTTGCGCTGGTGAAAAACCGGAGTCCCTGCCGGTAAACATGGCTTACCAGCTATTCAGTGAGACAGTTATGAGAGATTCGTATTCATTCATAAAAGGAATACGATGCCGACCATGGACGTTTCTATTAGCGATGCAAATGTTCAGCATACGGATGCAAATTCAGGCCGCTGTGGCGCATGACACCAAACTCGGTGCTTAGTTTATATCTTGGCGTGTGGTCACCACCGCCGCCACACTCGGGCCGGGTCGGGGGTAACACCTGGGTGTGTGTGGCCGGGCGCCGAATCCCTCCCTCTCGGCTCTCCCTGTCCCCACTCCTCACCGGTGGTCGAGTGTGACGGCCGAGACGGCCAGGCGCGTCACGTCGCGCGTCTGCGGGTGCCGCAGGAAGGGCAGTGTGACCCGCTGCACCAGCCGGGTGCACAGTCGGAACAGGTCGTCCACGGTCTCTGGGTGCTGTCGCAGTCCGTCCGGGCCGGCCAGCAGCGGGAGCGCGGCCGGCAGCAGGGCGTGCAGCGTGCCCAGCAGCGGCGGCACGCACTCCGGCTGCGCCGCGTACTCGTCCACTATTACCTGCCGGAGGGAGAGGGAGGGGGGGGGGGGCGGTGAGGAGACGACACCAGCGTAACCTGTCGACCATTACCTGATGTGCTTGTATTGTCATGACCTCAGACGCTCGTTGGCTGACACCAAAGGGAAATACCTGACAAATACAATTCAAAGCTGGGGCTTACAACAATACCGATCTAGTGTTTTGAGATAAAAGACTGGGGGATGGAGGATTTAGAACGCTAGCAGAATTATTCGTAATAGGAACTAAGCCTTGGCACCAGAACGACATATCACGGGGCATACTTACAATAATATCCTACACAGCACACCTTTTGTCACACGATTACACCGGCTTTCCAGTCTGGCGATGGCATCCCTCTCGGTATGAACAACCCAAGAACAAAGCATTACGTTTAGCCATGCATGCCAATCAGACAGCCATGACAGCCGGGTAAAGTACTGGTTACCATGTCTGGCGGTTTGTCTGCGTATGTACATATGATGGCGCGCCACTCCCTGATGTGAGCGGACAGGTTCCCGCCATTAGTCCGAGAGCAGTGTCCTCTGCGCGGTCCCAATCCCGAGTTACAGCGCGGGGTGCGGCCGGCCGCTCAGACGCCAGGACCGCAGACAGACAGACAGACAGACAGACAGACAGACAGACAGACAGACGGACGGACGGACGCGAGTTATGCGACTCGTCTGTGATTAATGAGGCGCCACACCTACCCACGTGACACCACCTGCATAGCAATGAGAAGCAATCCAGCATACCCTACACCCTATACAGAAATGACATTTCTAATAATACGCGGCAGGGTTGCGCTGAGCTGAGGCCAGACAGCCAGACAATGCTAGCCGGCAGTCAGCAACAGAAATTCCTGCCGTAATCACCATCAATTATCGACTTTCCGTGCGTGCCAAGCTGCTGGCATTCCCGGTGGGCTTATCGGGGCCAGCCAAGGCCGCCGGGGGCCGGGCCCTCCCTCCTCTCAGCACTCAATGTATCCGCAGTCCCCGGCGGAGCTACAGGAGGGGTGTGCTGGGGAGGGTCACCGACGTGGCACTGCAGCTGGTCTTCTGACAGGGCCATTAAGACGTCACGTACACCCCATACTCCGGTGGTGGACCGGACAATCCGCGGAGGAGCAGACACTAGGGGGCGGACAGACGGCCGCTCCGGTGTCTGGTGTAGGTGGCAGGCGCCGGTGGACACCAGTATCTAATCCCTGCCCAACCCTCTGTCTGCCCGATAGTGCCACGAACAAGTGAACACCCGTTCCTGATCTCCTCCCACCCGTCAGTCAGTCTGCCGGCCAAACGGACACCCGTGCCATCCCACAAATGACCCACGCCCCAAGCTCCAGTCTCCACCCATAACAGTCCAGACATTTCGCAGCTCGACCCGGCCGTAAGTGCCATGGGTAGACTGACATGGTACCATAGTGCGGTCATTTGTGCTGACACCTGTCCCGTCCCAGTCCCTGTCATCCAAACAGAAGGTGGCTGTGACAGACTGTGCGCACCGACGGTGTCCGTGGTAGCCAGGCCCCACGGGCGCCCCTGCCGTCCGGCCGCTGTATTACAGTGACAGCCCCGGCGCACCTGTCTACCAAGGCAGGCCGCGGAGGGAGCGGGGGGGGGGGGGGCTCCGACGGGCCACCCACCGACAGAGCCACCCACGGACATAACACAGCCAGTCAGTGGTGACTCAGGACGGGAGAGACAGAATCGATCGGGGCGCAACCCGCCACACAGCCGGTTATTAGATTGCAGTGCTTTGTGACTGTCCCACTGGGAAGGCCGAGATCCTCAAAGCCTTTAATCTATCTGACCATCGGAACTTTCGAGCGAGACGATATAAACTACAATGAGTTAACTTAGTGACTGACATCCATCAGCATCGCTGCACTAATAGCCAGATGAACGACTGAGTAATTTGCCGTCATGACATTCGTCTCAAACCATACAAATCTGACCCATTAGCCCACCCCACCCCGCGGAGCCCGGCCTCCCGGCGGGCGCACTGACCGACGCGAGGTAGATGAGGCAGCTGTGCTGCGTGGTGGCGTAGATCTCCACCATCTGCGCCGTCATGGGCTGCAGCAGAGGCGCCGACTGGGCGCCCACACAGCGGACGGCGAACCGCAGGCAGCGGCAGCAGCGCTCCATCACCCGGCCGTCGCGCTGGAAGCGGCGCATCACTGCCGAGAGGACTGGCCACACCTGCTGTATGGGGGGGGAGGAGGGTCACAGCACCGGCCATACCTGCTGTAAGGGGGGGGGGCAGTCACAGCACCGGCCACACCTGCTGTATGGGGGGGGGAGGGTCACAGTACCGGCCACACCTGCTGCATGGAGGGGGGAGGGTCACAGCACGGGCCACACCTGTTTAGGGGATGGGGGGGGGGGGGGTAGTTACAGCACGAAGAGGGGGAGGCACTATTATACAGGGAACGTGGGTGAGTTTAAGAGCGTCGCGACAGGCAGTGCTTGCCAAACCTGACCATTGATGCTATTCTTGACTGGAATGAAAAAGGTATGACAAACCTACGAAACTAAACGACGCAAAGTTAGTAACAGCCACAAATTTCCGAAAAAAACCTGTCTGAATCATACTGAATTGAACAAGAGATGGACCCAAACTGAACTTAGCATACAGTTTCCAACAGCACCTCATATCGAGTGATCTATTCGTACAGAGCATGAATGATGATGTGGTAAAGCTTGTCGCATTCATAGTTTTTTCCGATGTTAGCTAGTTAGACAAAGCTTGGACGACGTTTTGAAAAAGGCGGATATGCCGCAACGTCAGCGAAAAATTACACACGGAATCTCTGAGAACCTACTTCATCACGAACATTCTGCACCATCCCATCTGCTCGTTTCCGGAGCGCTTTCAACTGACAGATAACGCAGCGGCGGGCACTCCAAGGCCACCGTCCCGAGTTTCACCCGCTCCGACAAATTACCACATCTAGCATTACATAACACCGGTCGGGCGGCCGGCCGGGGCTCGACTAATCCGCGGCCGGCACAGATCGTCATATTCTGCGGGGTTAGAGCGGGCCGCCGTCGGACCAAGGGCCGGACCCGGCGACCGGCGCATCTACAGACCGGTCGCGCCCATGGCGCCCACCCGCGGCCCGTCACAGCCCGCCCCGTGTCCTGATGTGCAGGGAGGCGTTATAAACACGGACCTGACACCACACTAGGACATGTCGAACGGACTATTTACAGCGCTAATACACCCTGTGGTTGATATTACAGAGCACACCTTGTTAGTCCACACATGTCTCCGTTGATGTAAACACGACTAAGTATGACTGCTAACGAACATATAACTACACAAATCCCCGTATTTGTCCCGGCATCCCTTCCCGCAGTCTGAAGGTGCGTCTCGCCTCTTCCTGGAGGACCAGTCACGGACATCTCTGAGCCCGGTCCGCTGCGTATTGCCATATACCGTATGAAGGTGACCCCGGGCAGGACAACAGAGCCCAATGTTACCGACCTGATCTGGGACTCGATGGGATGATGTGCTTTTCCATCAATTGCCAAAATTAAATTCAATTTTAATTAATGAAGGATAATCGCTTCACAGAACTGGTCTGTTATTGAAATTCCAGGTAGGTATAAGAAAACTCTCGGCTGGCACATGATCTGGCAACTCTTAAACAGGTCACCCATAAAACATGCACCTGTCCTGTATGAACCTGACCCGATGGCCATACATGAATCACGTAGGGTTTATGACGAATCAGACCGGTATCGGCAAGGTATATCACCTCTGTTCCTCTCACCTAAAACACACCTGCTCAGAGACAGTCATGCACCACTACTCCACACCTGACAGACACACGTCACACGGCTCACCTCCTCGAAGACGGCCTTGCAGGGGTGGATCTGGCCGTTGGAGACCTCCGGGTGAGTGTGGCGGAACACGGCCGCCAAACGGTCCAGCCACAGCACCGGGTCAGACCGAGAGCCCTTGGCCGGACGGCTGTCGCCCGCCTGACCAGAAACGGGGTGTCGGTGACCAAACGGGAACGGTCAATTTGACATAGATGATTTGGCATTTCATAAACACCTAGTTTATGTCAAGTTGGAAGTGCTGCAGAAATCACAGAGGGCGTTAAGTATTCGGTAACGACCAGGTTCGATCAATGCAGTGATTATCAACTACCCCAATATCACGGGTTAAAAGTCTGCAGTTCAATTGAGTAGGACGTCACGCGCCAACGCAGGCGGACCGGGTGCAAATCGAGACAGTGCGCGCCATCTATGAGCAGACACGATAAGTTCACCATTCACAACGGACGTTCGTGAGCCGTATCAGCCGATCATTCACCCCGGAGAATCCAGCGAACGGGGAGTATTTCTATTACATAACAGACGGACGTATCGACGGTTCCACGACTGGTTAATCCCCCAATGTCTCGAAGAATGGATACTATAATTAAACCAATCCGCTGCTGAACAGATGTGTAGAAAAAGAACTACGCAACGATGTCTTTGCGTCAGGCTGCGGGGATTTTGGAGCGTTTTCTGCGTCAGACCGAGTCTCTGTGGACAGTCCCAGTGTGCGTTTTTAGGCGGCCCGTTCCCCGAATCTGCCGGCCACCACGTGCCGGCTGTACGGAGAGCCCACAGACCTGGTCTACGGTCTGCTGAAGCGGCCCGAGCAGCGGCTGGCAGATTTTGCTGATCATCTCCGGTATCGCCTCCGGGGGCATGTTGGCCACCACCTGAGGGCAGAGGACGGAAAACAGTCGGTAACCATGGAAGCACACGATCTGTTGTTGGCCACCACCTGCGGGCAGAGGACGGAAAACAGTCGGTAACCATGGAAGCACACGATCTGTTGTTGGCCACCACCTGCGGGCAGAGGACGGAAAACAGTCGGTAACCATGGAAACACACAATCTGTTGTTGGCCACCACCTGCGGGCAGAGGACGGAAAACAGTCGGTAACCATGGAAGCACACAATCTGTTGTTGGCCACCACCTGCGGGCAGAGGACGGAAAACAGTCGGTAACCATGGAAGCACACAATCTGTTGTTGGCCACCACCTGCGGGCAGAGGACGGAAAAACAGTCGGTAACCATGGAAACACACAATCTGTTGTTGGCCACCACCTGCGGGCAGAGGACGGAAAACAGTCGGTAACCATGGAAGCACACAATCTGTTGTTGGCCACCACCTGCGGGCAGAGGACGGAAAAACAGTCGGTAACCATGGAAACACACAATCTGTTGTTGGCCACCACCTGCGGGCAGAGGACGGAAAACAGTCGGTAACCATGGAAGCACACAATCTGTTGTTGGCCACCACCTGCGGGCAGAGGACGGAAAAACAGTCGGTAACCATGGAAACACACAATCTGTTGTTGGCCACCACCTGAGGGCAGAGGACGGAAAACAGTCGGTAACCATGGAAACACACAATCTGTTGTTGGCCACCACCTGAGGGCAGAGGACGGAAAACAGTCGGTAACCATGAAAGCGCACAATATTATGATATCCACCACCTGCGGGCAGAGGACGGAAAATCAGTTGGTAACCATGGAAGCACACAATCTGATATCCACGTGAGGGCAGAGGACGGAAAAGAGTCGGTAACCATGGAAATACACAATCTGATATCCACCACGTGAGGGCAGAGGACGGAAAAGAGTCGGTAACCATGGAAATACACAATCTGATATCCACCACGTGAGGGCAGAGGACGGAAAAGAGTCGGTAACCATGGAAATACGCACACGTTCCAGGGAGCCAACCATGTGGGAAACGATCACCTTACACAGACCGGTACTAGAGAAGAAACATTATCGCGTGCGTATGCTCTGAGTTAGACCAAAGTAATGCAATGATAATATATTTACCTGTCTAACTTTTGTAGAAAAAATGTATGCCTTTAAGAAGCTTTTGCGACTTTGGCGAGCTTTGGGACCTTTAAAGGAGTTTGGGAAACTCGCAACCTATAGGCACGACACAATTGTAACCTTCAGACGATAATATGCTAACAAAGAAAGCGATGAGCGTGATCTATAAAAGAAACGAGTCACAACACCGTCTCATTACCAATAAAGCGAAAGGTGTGGTAGCATTGAAACAAAAAGCGCAAAAAAGCGATAGCATCCTCACAACCAGACTTTTACGGCGAAAAATATCAAAGGACGGCATACCTCAGACGTCTGGTGAGAGATCAGACGCGATTGATGGTAAATACAAACTGACCTTGTAAACTGTCAACCCCTGTCAGGCGCCACATACAAATTGCAAACGATGGTAAACACCTGATCCTAAAACGCATCTCAAGATCGCGTGATTTCAGTGAGCCTCAGTACATCTACAAATGCCAAAAACACAGAAAGTCACCACAAAACACAGCTGACGAACAAAAAAAAATTAAAAATAACAAGATATATAACATGCTAGCATAAGATAAATTGTGTAACCAGATTACATAATTTTTGACATTGAAAATTGCCAGAGAATATTCCGGATAAGTTTTACTTGGTACTAACCTCATACAAATAAGTCTGTTCTTAAGATGTACAATCTCCAGACAACAAGAACAAAAACACCTGCTTACCAAAGGTAACCACAAAACGAACGGTAAGCCCAACTTTTATCTCATGATTTCATTTCACATGGCGCAATTCCACGATTTTCAAAGAAGCCACCCTCGCGGTATTTTCAATGTCACGAACACACCCCGACTGTGAGGCACTTCCCGACCGGGGATAGCGGCCGCAGTTATGTAATGGTCAATCCTATTACCGCATCGGCCGCCCATCTGGAGTCCGCAAATCTCCCCGTGTGGAGGGAGGGGGGGGGACCTGGGCTGACTCGCAGAGCTGGCGTGGGACCCCGCGGGAGGGGAACCACGGTAAGTCCAGGGGCCAACCGCACCTCATAGGCAAGATGGGAGCGGAGATATCTTAAATTCTCCATAAATGTCGGAAAGGTGGGCGTGAAAATATGCACACTCATGGAAAAACCGATCTCCAAAGATCGGAGCCCTACTGCGCCTTGGCGAAATTGTTTTCTGATTCATGAAACACGGTGGCATTTCCCCTGCTGGGAGTCATGAAAGACTTAGTTGGATTAAAAAGGGTTTTAGCTGGAAAAACATCGACAGGGTATTTGTAAACTTCCCATGACAATGTTGGCCAGACCGGGGAGAATCCCGCATTCATGTCCTGTGACGAGCACCGAGGCCTGTTACCTAACTCACCTCTGCTTACCTAAACAAAGTCACCCGCCCTCGCACTTAACGTTCACCTCCCTTTCTATTTTCTAATCTAATGATGAACGCTGCGCCGCCTCTACATCCGCCACGGTTAACGAGGCAGATGCTCCCAGTCTCCAGACCAGTTGTCTTCTTCCCTCCATTAGTTGGTTCCTTATCCGCCCTACTCTCCCCTCCGCTCACCTTGGCGGTTCCCTCCAGGATGCCGACGGCGGCGTCCGATGTGATATTGAACGTGTCCAGCGCCTGCACGATCTGCACCAGACCGCTCAGGTGGCCCGTCATCTGGCGGTCGCACTGGGCGCAGATGGAGCGCAGCGCGCGCGCCGACACCGTGGCCAGCTTGGCCACCCGCAGGCCCACCAGCAGGAAGTTCAGCACCGGTTCTGGCGGGGTCACGGAGGGAGGTTACACTACGTCAGACCATCTTTGACCCTTTCGTTGTAGCGTGAGAGGGTCAGATCAGGTTGGGGTGGAAATCACCCTTCATTATGATAGGTAGTGTGACTGATAGTTTGAAAGCACCGTTCACGTTACGCACGGCAATTCAATAGCACTGTCAGCTGATAAAGCTGTCGGCACGCACTCTTACGGAATATCGTGCAAGCTGACAGTACGAGTGCCGTATTTTAAGCCAGTACAGGCTAAGGCCAACTCAGTCACTCGGTTTCCGTATTGCACATACACCACCCCGGCCCGGTCTCCTGTTACGGTGATATCACGTCTATAACTGGTGTTCCTCCGCCTTACCTAGTACACTGGGATGCTCCCCGATCCACTCTGCCAGTCCGTTGAGCAGGTTGATGGCTGTGTACCTCAGCGCCAGGTGGACATTATCGGAGAGGGCGAGCACCGCCTGCACCACCTCGGGGACCACGCTGTCCTGCTTACTGCCGGGACAAACACACAAACACAACAGAGTTAGGGCTTAGTACCGACACAAACACCCAGTTAGAGAAGACATGCGGGGCACCGCACACCACGCTGTCCCTGATTACTGCCGGGACAGAAGGGTAGTGTATAACGTCATTGTGGTTCTCCAACTGGTACCGGGATCAGCCTTGCAAAGGTGCACAAAATATGGAACCAACCTCTAAAAACAATGGCAAAACATGCCCCATCATACTCACATTGCTCTTTTCGACTGATATTGAACTTGATAAGCTAATCAATCTTAATTGCCATCAGCCTCTTCTCTTCCCTGTCTTCTCTCCTCCCTCAGTCCCTGTTATCTCCACCTTCCCCCGGCCGGAGGTAGTACGCACGGCAATATGTTTTTGGCCTCGGTGGCCATGATGAGCAGGTACGTACGGCAGTATGTTTTTGGCCACGGTGGCCATGATGAGCGGGTACGTACGGCAGTATGTTTTTGGCCACGGTGGCCATGATGAGCAGGTACGTACGGCAGTATGTTTTTGGCCACGGTGGCCATGATGAGCGGGTACGTACGGCAGTATGTTTTTGGCCACGGTGGCCATGATGAAGAGGGCCGCCTCGCTGCTCTCCCAGGGCGCGCCGGCCGCCTGCAGGAACAGGTACATCTGGTGGAACACGTCCAGCGAGCCGCACACGAACACAAAGTCGCGCACCAGGTCGGCCACGCGCGCACGGAAGTCGTTAAAGTCGTCCTGGTCGTCCGGCGTGCCGTCCTGCCGGAGAAGAGAGGGGATGGAGGAGAGAGGGTCAGAGAACATCCAAAGTGTTTGAACCCTTCGTATGTGTAACATGTGCGCCACGAAGGGACTCCAAGCGGCTCAAGCACCGTCCAAATCTCGGCTCTCGTAGCTTGAACAAAAGGATCGTAACAAAAGTTGATCCAGTTCCGCATTGACATAAAAAAGCCAATTCATTTGTGACTCACTTACAAACCTTAGGCTTGAAATACTGCACATTACGGTCGAATTATAAGTTTTGAACGAGCCCACTCGGCGTTCACCATAATTCACTACCACCCACACCCCGTTGGTCGAGTGACGGCTCACATCGCCATCCGTTACTGACATGATCCGACTCCATCTGGCAGTGTCGACAGAGGGCCAGCAGCAGCCGCTCAAAGTACGGCTTGAAGCGGGCGTTCTGGTCGGAGCTCTTCTGCTGGTACAGCTCCTCAGAGAGCCGGTACCAAAAGTGGAACGTCACCTCTGCCACCTGACGGACAGACGGAGAACTAATCAGCGAGGAGGCGGGAGCGATTGGAGGGAACACAGCTGCCATCTAGTGATGGGCCAGGAAAACTGAGTGACGCTCGGACACGCTATTTCAGGACATCATATCGAGACTTCAGCTCCATTACAAACCTTCCCGCTACATTACGCACATCCGCTATGTTTTGACATTTATTAGTGCAAATGGAAACTTGACCACTTAAACCAGCGGACGTTCTGTAAAAAGCCGTGGTTTGTGCTACTGCTGCCCCCTCACGGTAAGAGGCAGCCGGTGAGCGGCCGAGTAATTACGTTACACCTGCGGCTCTGTACACCGTTCCGCCGACCCGCCACCTGTATCGGTCAGGTGTGCCTTAATCACCTCCATTTACCTCTGACCACATGTGAGCCGCAGCGGCACCGGAGGGAAGGGGCTGCACGGCGGTAGGACCCACCGGCCCGCTGACTCATACACCGCTGACTCACGGGTAGGGCGCAAAAGGCACGATGAAACGGCACAAAAACGTGACAATATTGGGTCTTAGGAAAAAAGCAGTTCAAACTAGATGGCTCACAAAATGCATGAAGTTGTGAGAATTATCCATCCTTGATCCCTCAGTTCAGCATTGCTAAATAAATCAGCGGTCAAATATTCAAGCATGGCGACCGTGACAGACAAATAACGAGTCGAGGCTAGTAGGTATCACGATGGGCAATAACTAAAACCCGTCCACTGCTCGCCCTCCTCGGTTCCGTCTCTGACCTCGTAGTCGTGGTGTCCGACGCAGACGAGGATCATGTCGAGCACCTGCAGCGATCCCAGCCCGTGGCCCGGGTTGTTGACGATCACCGTCACCACGGCCTCCCCGAGCTCGGTGAAGATGCGGCTGTAGTTGCGGCACCTGTACACCGCAGGGGAGAGGGACGGGCGCGGTTATTACACACACATCAGCGAGTCGGCGCCCGGCGGGGAGTGCAGCATCGATCAGCGTCATATACACACCTCCCGTCTATCTCCCGGTCTAGGTACGCTCAAAAACACACTCCTTATCCCGCGATCAGATCTCCTGCAGCTACTCTTCAAAAATACCAATAGTGTTGCCCTATGGGGGTGTCAATATTAGGCAACTCCCGGCAGCCCAACAACCCTCGCACGCGGCTATCAGACCATCACAAAGCCTTCCTTCTTCGGCCCTTCCAAAGCCATCCGAGCTACCCTACCCGACCCTCGTATCTCTCACTTGTCGATGAGCTCCTCCGCCACGGCCAGCTGGTACGGCTCGGCCAGCGTGAACGCGCCCGTGAACAGAGCCTTGGCCAGCGGCTGGTACTTGAGGTCCTCCTCGATCAGAAACAGGGCCGAGCACACGCAGTCGGTGGCCACCTCGTGCAGGGAGTCAGACGCCTGGCGGGGTGGGGGTGGGGGTGGGCAGAAGAGTCAGCACACCCAGTCGGCGGCCACCCCGTGTAGGGGGTCAGACGCCTGGTGGACACAGACCAGTCAGCACAACATAGCCTGCTGGAGACAGCGGGATACCTACGCCACAGAACAGCAGTGAATGTGAGCGCGTGTAATAGATCCATTAGCAGTTTCGTCAGGCGACTCACCCTGTGGTTGTGCAGCACCTGGAAGGTGAATTTGAGCAGGTCCGAGTCCGCCACCTGGACGAGCGCGTCCGCCGGGAACGTGAACCACGAGGAGAGGCAGCGCAGCAGCTTCGTCTGCAGGGTCGGCTCCGTGGCGCTCACCGAACCGTTCTGTAGGGGAGGAGGGAGGTGTATCAGGGTCGGCTCCGTGGCGCTCACCGAACCGTTCTGTAGGAGAGGAGGGAGGTGTATCAGGGTCGGCTCCGTGGCGCTCACCGAGCCGTTCTGTAGGAGAGGAGGGAGGTGTATCAGGGTCGGCTCCGTGGCGCTCACCGAGCCGTTCTGTAGGGGAGGAGGGGTGGGCATCAGGGTCGGCTCCGTGGCGCTCACCGAACCGTTCTGTAGGGGAGGAGGGGTGGGCATCAGGGTCGGCTCCGTGGCGCTCACCGAGCCGTTCTGTAGGGGAGGAGGGGTGGGCATCAGGGTCGGCTCCGTGGCGCTCACCGAGCCGTTCTGTAGGGGAGGAGGGAGGTGTATCAGGGTCGGCTCCGTGGCGCTCACCGAACCGTTCTGTAGGGGAGGAGGGGTGGGCATCAGGGTCGGCTCCGTGGCGCTCACCGAGCCGTTCTGTAGGGGAGGAGGGGTGGGCATCAGGGTCGGCTCCGTGGCGCTCACCGAGCCGTTCTGTAGGGGAGGAGGGAGGTGTATCAGGGTCGGCTCCGTGGCGCTCACAGAACCGTTCTGTAGGGGAGGAGGGGTGGGCATCAGGGTCGGCTCCGTGGCGCTCACCGAGCCGTTCTGTAGGGGAGGAGGGAGGTGTATCAGGGTCGGCTCCGTGGCGCTCACCGAGCCGTTCTGTAGGGGAGGAGGGGTGGGCATCAGGGTCGGCTCCGTGGCGCTCACAGAACCGTTCTGTAGGGGAGGAGGGAGGTGTATCAGGGTCGGCTCCGTGGCGCTCACAGAACCGTTCTGTAGGAGAGGAGGGAGGTGTATCAGGGTCGGCTCCGTGGCGCTCACCGAACCGTTCTGTAGGAGAGGAGGGAGGTGTATCAGGGTCGGCTCCGTGGCGCTCACCGAGCCGTTCTGTAGGAGGGGAGGGGCGGGCATCAGGGTCGGCTCCGTGGCGCTCACCGAGCCGTTCTGTAGGGGAGGAGGGGTGGGCATCAGGGTCGGCTCCGTGGCGCTCACCGAGCCGTTCTGTAGGGGAGGAGGGGTGGGCATCAGGGTCGGCTCCGTGGCGCTCACAGAACCGTTCTGTAGGGGAGGAGGGAGGTGTATCAGGGTCGGCTCCGTGGCGCTCACAGAACCGTTCTGTAGGAGAGGAGGGAGGTGTATCAGGGTCGGCTCCGTGGCGCTCACCGAACCGTTCTGTAGGAGAGGAGGGAGGTGTATCAGGGTCGGCTCCGTGGCGCTCACCGAACCGTTCTGTAGGAGGGGAGGGAGGTGTATCAGGGTCGGCTCCGTGGCGCTCACCGAGCCGTTCTGTAGGAGGGGAGGGGCGGGCATCAGGGTCGGCTCCGTGGCGCTCACCGAGCCGTTCTGTAGGAGGGGAGGGGCGGGCATCAGGGTCGGCTCCGTGGCGCTCACCGAACCGTTCTGTAGGGGAGGAGGGGTGGGCATCAGGGTCGGCTCCGTGGCGCTCACCGAACCGTTCTGTAGGGGAGGAGGGGTGGGCATCAGGGTCGGCTCCGTGGCGCTCACAGAACCGTTCTGTAGGGGAGGAGGGGTGGGCATCAGGGTCGGCTCCGTGGCGCTCACCGAGCCGTTCTGTAGGGGAGGAGGGGTGGGCATCAGGGTCGGCTCCGTGGCGCTCACCGAACCGTTCTGTAGGGGAGGAGGGGTGGGCATCAGGGTCGGCTCCGTGGCGCTCACCGAACCGTTCTGTAGGAGGGGAGGGAGGTGTATCAGGGTCGGCTCCGTGGCGCTCACCGAACCGTTCTGTAGGGGAGGAGGGGTGGGCATCAGGGTCGGCTCCGTGGCGCTCACCGAGCCGTTCTGTAGGGGAGGAGGGGTGGGCATCAGGGTCGGCTCCGTGGCGCTCACCGAACCGTTCTGTAGGGGAGGAGGGGTGGGCATCAGGGTCGGCTCCGTGGCGCTCACCGAACCGTTCTGTAGGGGAGGAGGGGTGGGCATCAGGGTCGGCTCCGTGGCGCTCACAGAACCGTTCTGTAGGGGAGGAGGGGTGGGCATCAGGGTCGGCTCCGTGGCGCTCACCGAGCCGTTCTGTAGGGGAGGAGGGGTGGGCATCAGGGTCGGCTCCGTGGCGCTCACCGAACCGTTCTGTAGGGGAGGAGGGGTGGGCATCAGGGTCGGCTCCGTGGCGCTCACCGAACCGTTCTGTAGGAGGGGAGGGAGGTGTATCAGGGTCGGCTCCGTGGCGCTCACCGAACCGTTCTGTAGGGGAGGAGGGGTGGGCATCAGGGTCGGCTCCGTGGCGCTCACCGAACCGTTCTGTAGGAGAGGAGGGAGGTGTATCAGGGTCGGCTCCGTGGCGCTCACCGAACCGTTCTGTAGGGGAGGAGGGAGGTGTATCAGGGTCGGCTCCGTGGCGCTCACAGAACCGTTCTGTAGGAGAGGAGGGAGGTGTATCAGGGTCGGCTCCGTGGCGCTCACCGAACCGTTCTGTAGGGGAGGAGGGGTGGGCATCAGGGTCGGCTCCGTGGCGCTCACCGAGCCGTTCTGTAGGGGAGGAGGGGTGGGCATCAGGGTCGGCTCCGTGGCGCTCACCGAACCGTTCTGTAGGGGAGGAGGGGTGGGCATCAGGGTCGGCTCCGTGGCGCTCACAGAACCGTTCTGTAGGGGAGGAGGGGCGGGCATCAGGGTCGGCTCCGTGGCGCTCACCGAACCGTTCTGTAACGACGGGGTAGGGTGGCCAGCAGGGGGAGAGGTCAGTGCCGGCTCTGCGGGACTCACAGAACCGTTCTGTAACGGGGGAGGGAGCGCCAATGAATAACTACGCGCAGTGAGCTGAGCGATCCGTAAAAGGTACAAGAGAACTGCGGGAAAATCTGTGGCTAGCAAACAAATCATTTTGTGATACAAATCTTACAGCTGGATAACCAAGTCCCAGTCGGAACATCAGGTGGCTCCGGGCCGCGCGGTTCGGTTCACTCACCAGCAGGTTGAGCACCAGCGGACAGGTGCGCGTGCAGTAGGCGGTGACCTGGTCGCGCCGGTTGGCGCCCAGCCGCAGGTGCCGCGAGCCCACCTCCTCGGGCAGCACGGTGAGCACTTCGAGCAGCGGCACCGGGTGGGAGTCGCCGAACCGGGCCACCAGGTCCTCGACGGGCGTCAGCCAGGAGGACATGAGTAGCGCCAGGTCGGCCACCGACAGACACAGCTGACAGACAGACAGACAGGGTCAGCGGGACGGGCGTCAGCCAGGAGGACATGAGCAGCGCCAGGTCGGCCACCGACAGACACAGCTGACAGACAGACAGACAGACAGACAGACAGGGTCAGCGGGACCGGCGTCAGCCAGGAGGACATGAGCAGCGCCAGGTCGGCCACCGACAGACACAGCTGACAGACAGACAGACAGACAGACAGGGTCAGCGGGCACGGTTCGTCGGAAGGTCATCTCAGGCTCAAAAGAAACGGTATATACCATTCGAAAGCAGATGATGCGCTGAATCCGAAAATGTAATTTTTATCAAAATCGATCGATGGCCTTTTTTGAAAATTGCGCTTTTGTAAAAACTTAATAATCTTTTATTCAACGGGCTGTCCCAGACATTCTTGGAAATATAAACATGTATTTTTGAGTTCCAGTGAAAGCTGAAGGCCAAAAGAACAATATTTAGCGAAGCAATATTTCCAAACATTAATATGCGTCTCCCACAGCCGACAATAAGGCGCAATTACACAGCTCAATGTCACGATGGACCAAAGTCAGCCACACAGAAGCGTGAAATGACCCTTATCGACTCGCAGACCCGGCGCTCTCGGCCCGCCTGACCGGCCACGGAAAGAACGTTCGGCTATTGTTCTACTAAACAAACGTCATATTTGTCAGTTTAACTGTCCACATCGCTATTAAAGTTATTCAGGATACTTGTGAAGAAAATTCATTGTTCTACTTGATTTACAACATGCTTTAATTTAAATTTTTCTTATACATGTTTTGTTCCATCCAGCTGCGCTCAGTCCCCGCGCAAGGGAAGTGAGCGGGGTTTCACTGTCAGAGGCTGTACTGGTGACAGCTGCTCGGCAGTGCGACCGGTCAAAGGTTACCCTGCCCCACCGGGCGCTACCCCCACTCCACCGGAGCTGAGGCCGGTACAACCTCTGACATTTCAGCGCGGCCAATTTTCCTTATATGGGCATGATACCAAGCACAATTGAGCAAAGTAGACATGAACAAATGTAAATTAATGCATGATGTGAAGATGACAGAGCAATGAATTTCTTCACAGGTATCCTGAATACATTTTATAGCGATGTGGACAGTTACACTGACAAATATGACATTTGATTAGTAGAACGAGAGCCGAACGTTCATTCCGTGGCCGGTCAGGCGGGCCGAGAGCGCCGGGTCTGCGAGTCGATAAGGGTCATTTCACGCTTCTGTGTGGCTGACTTTGGTCCATCGTGACACTGAGCTGTGTAATTGCGCCTTATTGTCGGCTGTGGGAGACGCATATTAATGTTTGGAAATATTGCTCCGCTAGATATTGTTCTTTTGGCATTCAGCTTTCACTGGAACTCAAAAATACATGTTTATATTTTCAAGAATGTCTGGGACAGCCCGTTGAATAAAAAATTATTAAGTTTTTACAAAAACGCAATTTTCAAAAAAGGCCATGGATCGATTTTGATAAAAATTACATTTTCGGATTCAGCGCATCGTCAGCTTTCGAATGGTATAAATCGTTTCTTTTGAGCCTGAGATGACCTTCCGACGAACCGTGCGGGACGGGCGTCAGCCAGGAGGACATGAGCAGCGCCAGGTCGGCCACCGACAGACACAGCTGACAGACAGACAGACAGACAGACAGGGTCAGCGGGACCGGCGTCAGCCAGGAGGACATGAGCAGCGCCAGGTCGGCCACCGACAGACATAGCTGACAGACAGACAGGGTCAGCAATTCAAAAACAACGTTACCCGAAGAAAAAGTTGACTCATACACAAACATGCTCCTCCCTCGCCACCGGGTCCTTAGCCGAGTGGTGCAGCTCCCCCCCCCCCCCCACCCGCAGAGCAGTGAGCACCTGAGTAACGATTATCCCCTCCCCGCCGGCTCCCCAGCTCGGTAAGCACCCCCACAGAGTACCTGTGTGACGATGATCTGGCTGGTGCCGGCCGTGATGCAGGCCATGTGCTCCAGCAGAGACTCCCGCAGCGAGCCGTGCGCCTCTGGCGGCAGCTCGTGGAACGAGTACTGGATCTTGGTGCGCATCGTCTGCGCCGCGAAGTAGCACGATTCCAGGTCGCGCTTGTCGTGCAGCAGCTGGTCGGCCACCTTCCAGGCCACGATCTGAAGGCGCCAGAGCACGGACGGTGACTGGGGTACGGCGGGGGAGACGGGCGGTGACTGGGGTACGGTACCGGGGGAAACGAGCGGTGACCGGGGTACGGGGAGGGGGAGACGGGCGGTGACTGGGGTACGGCGCGGGGGAGACGGGCGGTGACTGGGGTACGGGGAGGGGGAGACGGGCGGTGACCGGGGTACGGTACCGGGGGAAACGGGCGGTGACTGGGGTACGGGATCGGGGAAACGGGCGGTGACTGGGGTACCTACGGGACCGGGGGAACGGGCGGTGACTGGGGTACGGGGTGGGGGAGACGGTGACATTGACAGGTGTCTTGGGTCGGCACAGCATTAGCTTGGAACTTCCTTTATACTAGGAGTGTGTTTTCCCAAGAGCCAGATAGGCCTTTGTCATTGACAGAGCTATCCGAGCGCCGATATAACGCCGCCGGCCGTTCCTCCCGTGCTTGGAGAACTGGTGAGTCATTGGTGAATAATATAAAGGCACTATGGACACTGATTATATGTGCAATGATGCTGATCAAGGTAGTGGAGATTTGAGGTCTATGACAGGTGTACAAGAGAGGTGATATCTATCCTCAAAACACTTCTGCACATCAGCTGTCAAATCTTCTTTTTTACTGCAGTTAACAATGAATTCAGCAGATATATGACATGACACATAAGTGACAAACAGGGATCACACCAGACCCAAACTATGCACTGGAGGAAATATAAAAAATCAGTGATCACATCCTGGACCATCTGGATCATGGATACCATGATAACAGTTGTTCCAAAGGAAAACCAGTTATGAACAAGAACAAACCTAAGTAAGTAGTTTAAGTAGCACATGCAGAGGATGCATTTTACATGACAAGAATAGGTGTCTTCCAAGCATTATCTTGAAGTAAGTTATCCATGTAGGACAATAAGTTACATCTAGGCCCTTCCCTGGCCTTTCTTGGGACCTAGATAGCTAGTAGGTAGGCACTCACTGACTGTTGTAGCTCTTGGAGCCATTTGGATGCCTGCTCTTTGCTGGTTGGGTTTGGATCATGATACAAAGTCTGGATCGCTTGAACTACCAGCTCAGTGGTTGGTGGATTCTCCATGCCTGGAAAAGAATGCAAATATGAGAACAAGTTGGCACCACTCACTAGGCAATTTGGATCAATTAAAGCAGCAAAAATTGCTTTTGAGAATTGTTCATATATTTCAATCTACAAAGAACAGTCTAAAAATGCATGCCATTAGATACCATGGCTCTAAAAAGCTATCTAAGCATCACAATGCACATAATGGCACCAAACTCCAATTTGATTTGACTTTGACTGATCCATCTCAGTCTTGCACCTATGTCTGACACATCAGTAACCAACTACAATCAGGGTCGTAACCAAGGGAGAGAGGGGCCACGGGGGCCATCCACCATGCCCCATCCTTAAGGCAAAAAATAAAAATAAATTAAATAAATAAAAACAGCTGCACCATAACCAAAATATAGTGGGCCGATTCCGAGGAGTTTTCCTTTTTTGAAGGGGGCATGCCGCACGAGGCCACGACCTGTGACCGAGCAAAATCCTGGCTATGTGCCTGACAACAATGATGTAAGGTTCTGAGATGAATTGAAGCAAAAAAAATTAAATAAATCCTAAATCTTGTCCACTGGTCCTATCATTCCAGTAGTAATGAAATATTAATTGTAATCTTACAATCTCAAGCTGGCATTCTCAAGCTGGCATACCACAAGCGAGAGCCAGCAAGTTCAAGTTAAAAAAAAACACCTACCCACTTGTCTTGCAGACTGCTGTGTTCCTTGGCAAAATAACGGTCTAAGCGCAGGTTTATTGGAAAATTTAAAGCGAAAATAATAGGAAAACACCACCTAGTGCCTTCCACCCAAGGCTATATAAACCTTCCACCGGCGCCCAGCAGCCAAAAATAACATTGCATATTCGAATAAAATCAAAAACATTACAGCTATTGCGATCTAGTTTCAAAAAGTGGCGCACAAAAAGAGACACAACTAGTAAATGTTTATTTCGATGTTTACCTGAGAGTTCGAAGAGTTTTATTATGGGGATATCTCGATATATTTGTACCAATTTGTACGCCAGTGTGCTTATGAAATTTGTTACACGTAATACCAACTAGCAAGTTGAATCGTTTTCCATAAAAATATCAATTGCAATAGAAAATCGATTTCAGTAAGGTTATCACTATTTTGATGTCAATGTCAAGAAAAGGGCTGTGCACGGTTTATATCAATAGCTAAGCCTTCTGTGCACTATCAGTATTGACTGGGGTCTTTTACATCTCAATTTTTAATCTGCTGTTACATATGGGTTATTAAACATAACCAAATACAACCTTAGTTTGCTACTCAAATGCAACCATTCTGCAACCAAGATGCACACAATTTGAATTGTAATATTTATTCGTGAAGTGTCATAATGCTACCTTGATTTGTAATGCCCTTTAAATTATATTTTGAGTGCTGAAAAACGCTTCTGTTATCTGTTTCTGACATCCTGATCCCTGTTTTTGTATGTGATTTATGTACCCCATTAACCCTCGCATGTGTAGGGGGGGGGTCGGATGGACCCCCCCCCATGGTTTTTCGCGAATAACTCGCGTAAAAAGCGGCCGATCGCGACGAAACTTTCAGTACCCTCGCATTGATCAATTTGACACCTACCCTGAAAATTTCATGACCCTGACCCAAATGACCTTTGACCTGTGACCTCTTTTCCGAGACCATGTTTGGCCGGAATCGCGATTTCGCGTATGTCGGCTCGCACTAGCCGCGTGTTTGCAAGCTTTTCGTGGTTTCAAACGTTCAAACATGTGATTTGATGTTACTCCCGTGTGTGTCAAGGTCACCTGAAGGTCATGTCAGGTCATTGACCTTTGGTGACCTCGGGTGACCTTGGGTCACTTTTTCGAGTTTTACATGTTTCTAGGCTAGTTTTTGGAGCTGAATTCGAATTTAGCAACCATTTGAACATTTACGAAGTAGTTTTGGTGGCTTCGTAACATGTTACGAAGCTGTCAGAGGCGGTTGACACGTACTACGAATACCTGTCACGACGCCTACTGGTTGACCTGACCTGACCTGACCCGACCTGGTCTAAATGCTTCAAGACATCATCTGTGATCAAAACTAACACGATATTCGTGATCAGCACCCCGAAAAACCCCTTAGCAGCCACACTTTACGACTTTCTAACAGGTCCCGATTTTCCCGACTTTGGGTCATTGACCTGACCTGGAAGGTCAACCAATGACCTAGGACCTTAAAATTGGGTATCATCGGCTTCCTCTCGTCACGGGCAACACGCTCGTTTTTTCCGCGAAGCTCTAGCTCGATCAGGGGCCAAACGGCAAGGGGGGGTCCAACCGACCCCCCCCCCCCCTACACATTAGAAGCTGGCAAACGCCGCACACATGCGAGGGTTAATGCTACTTTTTATTCAGGATGTGTCTCTTGGTCTGTCCTAACTTTTGTGCATATTTTCCAGGTTGAAGTGTGGAGGCACAGTCAAATTTGTACCTAATGTTTTTCATAAAATAATCAAACTCAAAGCTAGACATAACATATAGCACTTGATTTATTATAATTGAATAATTAAACTACAATTTCAACCCTCAACATGACCCAGCACTGCCTGATACTGTTATCTTCAGCCAAGGAAGGTAGGTTCTTTGCACCAAAATTTGCCAATTTTGTTCTTATTAGTTGGTAGCTTCTTTAGCTGTGGAGTATGGACCATCCACAAAATATTCACTATATCAAGTTCTATTTTGGATCTAACTGAAACCTCTCTGAAGAATAACTAAGAGTATGAACTATGAACACTACCATTACCTACTGCAGATCAGAACTATCATCTCATTACCTACTTGGTACCTACCTTCTCAAAGATCAGCCCAGGGACTTAACCCAAAGCTCCTAATGTTGATGCTGTCATACTTCTTTTGGAGCTATTTAATCAAAGAGTGGCCCTTGACTTGACATAAAGTTCCAGTGCTGATTTGATAATCAGTATGCTATGCCATCAGCCATGGCAGTTTAGATGCAACATGGTTATCTGAGTTGTGGTGTTACTGGTATGCTGTAACTTTGCAGGTGTCTCAGCACAGTCTTTCATCCAGTGCTGCACCCTGGTCCACTCCAGTTTCCAGGTTCAGCTGGCTACTCCTGGGGTAAGCTCTCAGTACCATCATCTCATACCAGCTTCAATCCAGTCATATTGAGTAGGTAATTATGCCATTTATGTCACTTATTTTAGAAGCTCAGAGCTATATCTATAGGAGGGTATGTAAGTCTATAGCCATCTGATCTGCAGTGTGGCCTTTTTAAACATGTAACATGAAGCCATGAATGTGGATCCACTGTTGATTGCCAAGAACATGACTTCTTCATTTCACATTTCACATTTCAGGGTAAATATCCAGAGTACCTGCACTCTGGCGATTCAACCACAAAATGGATGGAGGACTTCAAAACCAAGGCATTGGCAGTCCCCATGAATGTCTCCATTGTGGATGGTAAGCAATAATTGGCTGCCCACCATTGTCTTGAGAAAATGAGTTGTCTTTTGCCCATGTTTCATTCTCCAATCCTCAGTAAAGTGCTTCGTTTGTACCCATTCTGTGATGTTGAACCGCGTCTCACGGCGGCCGGTCGGTCGGCAGCGAGCCGCTACTCGTGTCTGGTGATCCCGCACTGTCCCGGCGCGCCGTACGACCTGGCCGCCAGCAACGAGGTGGCCCTGATCCTGGCGCAGTTCATGCAGCACTCCAGTGAGTACGGCGCGCGGCCAGCGGCACCGACGGCTCGGAGCCGGTCAAAGGACGGGAGGGAACGTCTCGGTGATAGTGGTTTCCCATACCTGCTACATTGCATGATTAAATCGAGACATCCAGGCATTTAAACAGCACGTGCACTGTACCACACTTTTCAAAGTTTAATGCAATGCTTTAATATTACAAGCCGTGTGGTTCAAGGGGTGTGGTTAAACACGTTGAACCACACGGCTGCTGACGTCACTATCATATAGTTGTGAGCTTTTTGGCAGGTATGGGAAACACCTTCCAGCCCTAAGGCCGAGAATTCAATAAATGTCACCTCGCTTTTTTAGCAAAATCACCTCGTACCTAACGGCCCTCGGATTTTTCGCTAAAAAACCTCGGTGACATTTATTGAATCATCCCGGCCCCGGGCAGGAATATATTATCCCATACGTCCTGCTATGATGATTGTTGAGCAGAGCATAATCAGTCATAAGTTTGCTATGATCATTCAATGTCTGGTGCACCCGTGGGTGATCTGTCGTACGGCAAGACGTGGGAAACAAGTCTCGTATTCAACTGAAAGCTAATGCTCTTTTGCGACAGGGTTCTGGCAGTGACTTCTGGCGATATTGAATTGACGTGGTCACGGAGAAGTTGGACTGTATCGTAGCGTTCTTGACGTGCCGCCCACACGTCACGTGTGTCCGTTCGCTTCCCATGCCCCGCCCTCGTTTTACCGTTCTGCCTGTGTGCTACAGAGCCGATCAGCGCGGTGTGGACGTTTGTCCCCTCCTCCCCCCTCTCCGCCCTCGTTTGACCGTTCTGCCTGTGTGCCACAGAGCCGATCTGCGCGGTAGGTCACGGCGTGGCCGCCCTCCTGGCCACGGCCAGCCACCCTCAGCAGACCAGCTGGCCCTTCAAAGACGTCTGCCTCACCGCGGTACGTGTCATGTGGCGCTGATAGTGCCGTGTTCGGAGAGCAACTCCTACCGAGCGGGTGGTATTGGTCACGGGGATGCGAAAAAGTTGATGGAAATGGGTGAGATGTTGCGAATTGTGATCTAGCCGGTCAGTGGTCACTAGCTTATGCTAGTAATCGTCATAATTCACTTCCGGTATTGATGATAGTTTGATAGGCCAGGTGCGGTAGCTTTAAAAAGTAAGTCAATAAATATTTACGGATGATTTCACTGTGATCTCCGCCCGATGCTATTAACGTGTAACCGCCTCACCAGTCCTCTCTCCCTCCCCATTCTGACCCCCCCCCCCCCCCCCTGTCGGGTGCCGCTGCAGCCGACGCTGTTCGACCAGAGCCTGGACCGTGACTTCTCGCAGTGCCCGGTGCTGCTCGAGGACGGCCTCAGGGACGGCGGCGCGCGCTACACGGGCGCAGCGCCCGGCGCACCGCACGTGGTCATCGACCGACACCTGGTGACCGGCCAGAACGAGCTCTCCACGCTGACCGCCGTACAGAACCTGGTGCTCATCTGCAACCAGCTCAAGTGAGCGGGGCGATCCGGGGGGGGGGGGGATGCAGCAGATGCGTCGCACAAGTTACGGTATGGGCTAGTCAGTTGTCCTGATTATTGTGTCACTTTGTAGAAGTCAGCTTAAACCTAGTGTTTGTTTCCAAATTATGTGATAATACGGATAAATGTGTTACAACGCACAGTGCGTAGTGCGTATGGATATTACCGATTGAGTTAGAATCGGTTTTCGAATCGCCTCTAATGAATGGTAGTGAGGAAAGGTCACAGGGCGAGCATCATATACAGGCCAAAATTCTGCTCGTCACGCGAACTCGGCATTCACTAACCTACTGCTTTGCCGTCCTCAGAAAAACGGGCTGAGTCCAGCCCTGGCGTCTCTCTGGGATCCTGAATCTACATCTCGCCCTGTGCCGGTGATAAGACATAAAGCACAGCGAGGACCGGACCTGTAAGCTACTGGGCCGCCGGCGATCGCCGGGAGATCACACCGCTGTGGGACACGGGCCTCGCCTCTGCGACCAGCAGCCTCGGTAACGATGCGAGGTCGAGCTAACCTGCTGTCAATGCATCGCTGCATACGTCACCGGCTGGGGACGGCACACACCCAGTCCACACACACGGCGCGCACATTCCAACGCCCGCTCGGCGTCGCTTCCAAAGCCGCGCGTCGGGGCGCAGTGTAGTCACCCACGCCGGTAACGAGTCGCGGGTGGCGTATTTTGCTATTGTTTTATCGGTGTACGCATATTGGCCCAGTGTGCCGCGCCGCCTGCTATACGAGAGAGCTGGAGTTTTACCAACGACTGTGTATTGTACCAAAAGAACGAGAATAGTATACAGAGTTATGCAATCTTCCTGTCGTCGGTATTTCCTGCACCGAGCGACACCGAAACGGGTGGCTGTGTCCGTAATGGCGTCCGTCTCCGAACGGCATCACAGTTCCCACACGGGAGATAGACCGCTGCCACATATAATAGGGATCGAGCTACACTCACAACCTCGCGCAACTACGCGAACTACCGCGCCGGCCGTCACCGCTGCTTACAGAGCCAATGCACATTGCACCGTTCCTACTGTCTACCACCAAACAACAGTTAAAGCATACACCAATGCGTGGCCATATATGCCCTATACATATACGTAATTTCGTTATCACGGCGCTCAAAACCAGAAATAATTCGATGTAAACAAAGCGACAGTTTCAGAAAACGATGGATTCTAAGTAGGAGCACGACGGTTGTGCAATTCATAATAATGTGACATAAAATTGAGGAAAAGGAAACCAGGCTGTGCACGCCTTCTTCCCCGGAACCTGCGGATACCGTGAGAATGAGACAATAAGGTCGTAAAATAGCGGGAGCGTCCCCCACCATGACTCCCATAGGTCGCGGGGAGCTGACACCTCAGACGCTGAGGCTAGTGGAGCTTGCAGCTAATCGAAGAGAGGATTCCACAATATGAAAATATTTTTAAAAGGTGCATTTGTATGCAAACTATCACATAACTAAATCGGAGCCTTGGCCTCCTCGCGCCCAATAAAACTTTATCCACCAACAGCCGTATAAAAGGAGCCACATCCAGACGGGTTCCATCTGCGTTTGGCTCGGCGCGCGGTGCGGAGATCTCACCGGGCCCTGACTGGCGGCACGCCGCGATGGAAGCCTGGAGTGAGAGAGGGGGAGAGACAGCCGGGCGGCCCGAGCAGCGGCCGTGTACCGCGCCGGGGCACTACTGCTTGGTCTGAACGGGCACCTGGTTCACCGTCCCCGTCTGCTGCTGCTGCTTCTGCGCCGGCACCTGCTGCTTCTGCGCCGGCACCTGCTGCTGCTGCTGCTGTTGTGGAGGCTGCTGGTATTGCTGCTGCTGCTGCTGAGGCGGCTGCTGGTACTGTTGTTGCTGTTGCGGAGGTTGCTGCTGGTATTGCTGCTGCTGAGGAGGCGGCTGCTGGAATTGCTGTTGCTGTTGCTGCGGAGGCTGCTGGAATTGCTGTTGCTGCTGCTGCGGAGGCTGCTGGTACTGCTGTTGCTGCGGAGGCTGCTGGAACTGCTGCTGAGGCGGCTGCTGGAATTGCTGCTGCTGCTGCGGAGGCTGCTGGAATTGCTGCTGCGGGGGCTGCTGGTACTGCTGTTGAGGCGGCTGCTGGAACTGCTGGTTCTGATTGGGCAGCTGCTGCTGCTGCTGCTGCTGACCGGCCGGCAGCTGCTGCTGACCCTGCACGGGAACCGGCTGTCCGGCGGCGTGCGGCTGCAAAGAGAGTACAATGTACGTCAGGCGACGGTACCATTTTTAGACGAAAGCGCTACTTCAGTTGCAGCTCCGCGTGAAGAGTTTGTCTGTGCGCAGGGCCTGCGGACTGACCTTTACAATACCGCGACCGGGTGACGTGATTCTAAGTAAGCGTTCGCTGTTCGATACAAGTAGCATCGACATCAACCCTGCCCGTTGACAGAGTGAGTGCACTATCAGTCGATGACGGTGCGCTGCCGACTGCGCGGCTAGAGCTGCAGCACCCTACACTTCCATATTCTCCCAAACACCAGCCACCCGCAGACCCTGTCTATCGGCGGCGGCGCCCCGACTCACTGGCACGAACTGAGGCGCGATGGGCGGCGTGCCGAGCCCCTCGTGTCCCAGGTAGCCCGGCGGCGGCTGGTAGCCCAGGTGCGGCGGCGGCATCTGCAGACCGCGCGGCCACGTGACGTCACACACACGTGCAGTGACGTCACACATACAGACGGACACACAGCCAGGCAGCGTACGGGGAGCTGGTTAGGCGGGGTAAGCTGCTGCAGGGTAATTACGGGTGCAAAAAGTGGTGGTGCGACAAGCCGAATGCAGAACAGTGTGGGAAATCGTGTCAGATAAAACCGGTCTTAATCGTGACTCGAAAGGCGTGACTGGAAAGGCGCAGACAATAAGGAAAAATATGCCTGTTTCGGCAGTGCTTCATAATTGTAATGAAGTAATTTACCAATTCATGCTAGGTAAGATAAACGCTCAAAAAGTTATCATGAGCTGCGTTCATCGCTGAGCTCATCGACAAGTGCGACTGACTGACACCTCGTATAATGAAATTCAACCAATTTTGAAAAAGAGAAAACACTGAAAATACTTCGGGATCGAATAAAACGGTAGCTCTGACGGGAAGCAGAGTGGACGTTAAAGGGACTATCCCACCTTCAAAAAAGTCCCGTTTAGGATTCGGAAATGTTACTCGTGATATTGTGACGAATTCTGCATGTTTTTACGCGTTTTCATCGTATACTTTTTGAGATATTGCGACTTTTATATTTCATCGTGACGTCATTTAGATCGGATCTGTGACGTACTGAAGGATTTACTTCATGTCAGTGTGGGGGAAATTTGGCAGCAAATATAGGTATTTGCTCTCAAATATGACTCGGCTCATACAATAACAAAAGTGTCTCTGATTGGCTTATTCGTAAATCAAGTGATACTTCACTTGAACAGGCGTTCAAAAGGCAAATGACGTCATCAGATTACCGTTAATGGTTAAGAGATTGGGCCTTGCGCAGGGCTCATTTTCAAATGAAGGGAACGAATTTCTTCAACACCACGAGGGCGAGGGTTGCAACCAAGATAGATAGTGGTTTCTGGACCTCGCCGCAAACTTGGCTATCTCAACTCAAACCTAATGTAAAGGTGGGATAGTCCCTTTAAGGTTTATCATGCTCTACTAATGTTAATGTTAACAATGTTAATAATCATCAGTCAATGCAATTATTGTGATCGACAGCCGCTAGCATGCGACGAGCACATCTGCGGAACTTCAAAACTGGCGCGAACAACAGCCCAAACAACGCGCTAAGAGTGTCAACAGTGCAGCGTCGTTAGCACATTCCAGCTACGCGGTGACGCAAGAACAAAACAAAAAGCCGGTTGTCTAGGGTTAACCACGCAGACGGTGGCGCAAGCGTATCAGCTCCACTTCTACAGCCACTCGTTAGCGAGTCAAAACTACCGAGCTGTAAAACAGTCTGCCGGGGGCAGGGTTGGCATTTTTGCCGGCAAAAACTAGTTTATGCCATTTGCCGGTTTAAACCGGTTTAAACCGGCAAAAAGTGGCAAAAACTGGCAAAAACTCAGAAATATCACAATGCTATGCCTGAACATGAATTTTAACACGAAACATTTTAAGGAGAATTCGGTGAAAGCTTTATGCTTTCAAACAGAAGTGACATTGACCATTGAAATGCTTCATAACTCAGAAACATTTTCATGGGCTTTCCATAAGGAGCTAGTAAGATGCCTTTTGGGGGTGACAAATGAGCCAGTGCAAGGGTGACTGGGTGAGTCCTGCACAAGTGCACAATCAGAAGTACGAAGGGGTAGCTGCCACTGATATGCGCACGGCACCGCATGGCACCCTACTTACCGTGGCCGTCTTGCCCCACTCTCCCCTACATGGAAATACATTCCGTTGTGGATGTCTACTGACATGCATAGACATTTTAAGCAGGGATAAGTAATGAGGCAAACTTCAGAATGTTTAGTGCATCTCTATAACTACCAGAAATGCATTTGTACATTTCAAATCCATTCCTAACTAGAAAAGTTGTAGGTTTGACCATCTGAGGTTTAGCCAGTTTTTGCCAGTTCTTGCCACCAGGGTTTCTGCCAGCCGGTTTAAACCGGTTAAAACCACTGGCAAAAACCAGTTTTTGCCACCCCCTGCCAACCCTGGCCGGGGGGGGGGGGGGGGCGCTCGGCGGGTCGCCGGTACAGAGTACACGGACCCTGTCGTCGCGCTCACCACGCCCATGTTGATCTGCCGCTGGATCTCGGCGTGCCGCTGCTGCTCGTACTTTTCGTACTCCTGGCGGGCGAACATTTCCCGCTCGTTGACGCCCTCCCAGCCCTGGTCGGCGCGGTAGTCCTCGTGCTGCGTGCTCGCCAGAAACTCCTTCAGACTGGAGACGGCGGGGAGGGGTAGCGTCAGAGACTGGGCGTTGGGAGAGTGGCTGGAATTGACAGGGCACTGGTGGATGCTGAAGAGTTACTTACTCTACTGATAAAACCAACATGTCCGACCTGATGAATTATGCGTCCCTTGCCCACTACATGAGGCCATCCCCGTCCCCTCCGTCCCACCTGATGAACCCGTCGCGGTCGGTGTCCACCTCGGCGTAGGTGCTCTCGCGCATCTCGTTCATCTCCTCGTCCCGCTCGCGCGGGTCGTAGTCGGTGCCGTTATAGATCTTGTCCAGCTCCGTCTTGAACAGCGCCATCACCTCGTTCTGGTCCAGTAGCTCGTTACCGTCCACGTCTGCCGAGGGGGGAGGTCAGGGTCACAGTGGTGACAAATCAATAGGCTAGGCTACTTTGTCGGGTCAGACACATTGCCATCAGTGCAAACACAGTGCCAACGACGGACATGACATTGGAATTAAATTTACAGTACATAAGTTTGTCACGGTGACATGTTAACAACGAGCTATTTCCCAATAATCCCCTGCACAGTGCACGCTTACCGCTGAGGGAACCCGAAATCACGAACCAATTTATTTGGCCAGTTTGTTTTCCTCATTACCCTGAACGAATATTTTACGCTGCCAACACAAGTTCTCGGTGACCGTTAAACCCAAACACTTCCATGCATTACTTCGATGTATCATGAAAAGTTATCAAACATTTCCCATTTCAAAAGGGCGTTCCACGTGCGCGGTACTGACCGTGCATCCTGAAGAATGTCTCGGGGTTGAAGTCCTCCCGCTCCATGTGGTCCTGTTCCTCCCACACCTCCTCCAGTTGGTCCTCGCTGAGAGGATGGTGCACCTGCGACTGAGGCCCATATCACACACTGGTATCCCGCCGACAGTCACCAGTACCATCTCCAGTGTACCTTTACCTTTACATTGATTGCGGGGGTATTGGTCGAGTTCAAAACCCAGGTCAACTGTTGGGCGCAAAATGGCCTTAGTAGTCGGCGCGCCCTAAATACCTAATTAACAAGCAAACCCAGGCCATTATTTAGGCATTCGTTACTTAATTTACAGTTTGCATTCATAGCAACGTATACTGAATCGAGATTCTGAACTCATCAATGCCTCAATATCGATAATATCTAACAGTTCAACCAAATAACGCAGACGCTGGCAGCGATGTGCAATTCACGATCCTCACACATATTGTCTCCGTCGGAGCCATTACCGGCGGAAGGTAGGGTCACAGTGGAGGGGCGGCTGGAATCCCGCCTCTGACCGTACCTTCGGGTGCTCCTTCTTCTTTTTGAGCTCCTCCTCGTGCTTTTTGACGGCCTCCTTTTTGTGCTCCTCATCCAGCGTCTTCAGCTGCTCCTGGTACTTGAACTCCTTCTCCATCTCGTAGCGTTTGAAGTCCTCGCGTCGCTGGCGGTCCAGCTCCTCCAGGTCCTTGGTGGTCTGGGGAGCAGCAGACGCACATAACCCGTCAGCTCTGGCGGCGCACGGTCTCCCCGCCCGCCGCGGACCGGTCGGAGCTCCCCCGTCCGCCGCGGACCGGTCGGAGCGCCCCGCCCGCCGCGGACCGGTCGGAGCGCCCCCGTCCGCCCGGGGATTAGCGGCAGATCGGGGCTGCACGGCCAGAGTTCGGCCCCGCAAGGCCAGGCCAGACCGCCGCTATCTGATCTGGACAGAGCCGGAACGCAACAGGTTGACTCCGGCTCAACTGAACAGTAACACTGCGGCGCCAGAAATGCAGTGATAAGTTCGTTTTCAGGATAATGACAATCATGGCGACATAGATACGCCCTATACTATCACTCACTGTCACGCATTCGTCACGATAATTCAGGACCAGTACCTAACACACGCTGTGAGGAGACAGATCAGACCACTCCTCCGCCATAGTCTTACTTCGCTCCATCCCCTACCTTGTGTATCAGCTTGCGGAGGTCTTCCTCTGAAAGAAACCTCCACTCACCTTGCGTAGTTTGCGCAGGCCCTCCTCTGAAAGTACCCCCCCCCCCCGCTACCCCCCTCCCCTGCCGTCCCTCACCTTGTGTATCAGTTTGCGGAGGTCCTCCTCTCTGAAGGTGTGCGGGTTCCGGTGATCCAGGTGGTGCGGCTCCCTGATCGTGTTCCGGTCCAGCCCGTTGGACAGCTCGAACGCCTCGGTGGCCTTCCGCCGCAGCCGGTCTAGCTCTATCCTCTTCAGTTCGTCCAGCTTGGAGCGGATGGACGGGTCCACCACGTGCAGCTTGTCCGCCACAGAGCCAGACTGAGAGGGGGAGAGGGAGGGGGGGGGGGGGTCAAGTTAGGTCATCGGTGCAGCCTTTACAATGAACCTAAATGTGCATGGGTATTGTAAGGGTATTGCTAAATGCTAGGGTATTGCGCCCCCCCCCCGCGCTCCCGGAGGCCCTGCTCACCTGAATGTCTTCGTCAGTGGCGTTAGCCAGGATGTCCTTGAACTGGGCGTCCTGCTCCAGCATCTTCACCACCTCCTCCAGGTAGTTCTTGTACTCGAGGCCCATCGTCTGCCGGAGCATAACACGGCGGCACGTGACAGGGGAGTAGAAACGGAGCACGATACGCTCGTCTTCCGTAGGATGGTGCGGTGGTATGGTCCCAGTATGACCAGCGTATGGTCTGTGTATGATCAGTGTATGGTCCGTGTATGGTCTGCCCATGGTCCGTATTCCGTGTATCGTCTGTGTATGGTCCGTGTATGGTCCGTGTATGGTCTGCCCATGGTCCGTACTCCGTGTATCGTCCGTGTATGGTCCGTGTATGGTCTGTGAGTGGTTCGTACCTCGGAGGTCATGTTGAGCTCCTCCTCTGTGGGCTGGTGTGGCGGGGGCGGTTGCGCGCGCGGCGGCGGCGCCACCACGGCAACCACCAGCGCCAGCCCGCAGGCCAGCTTCAGCAGCGCGGTCATCGCAGGGACGGCCTGGGGACAGAGGTCACAGCTCACTGACCCGGCGAGAGGTCACAGAGGGCACAGGTCACTGACCCGGCGAGAGGTCACAGAGGGCACAGGTCACTGACCCGGCAAGAGGTCACAGAGGGTACCTACAGGTCACTGACCCGGTGAGCGACCAGTTGGGCCACAGGTCACTGACCGGGGTACCGCAGACATCGCAGCGACGGCCTGGGGAAAACCAGTAAATTCACTCATTGGTCTTCAAACGGCAGAAATCGCAACTGTCAGGGGCCCGATACTGACGGGGATCACGTATCACAAATACGGTACGCACCGAGGCCAGTCGGCCCCTCCCCTCCTCCCCCTCCGCACACACCGAGTAATCGGATCCGGTGTGCCCGCCCCGTCACCGTCCGGCCAGCCGATCTCAGCCGCACCTCCCCCTGCCCCCCCCCCTCTGGGAGCAGCCGCACCTCCCCCCTCTGGGAGCAGCCGCACCTCCCCCTCTGGGAGCAGTCGCACCTCCCCCTCCCCCCTCTGGGAGCAGCCACGCCTTCCTCCTCCTCCCCTCTGGGAGCAGTACGGGGGGTTCATTCAGACTTACTGCAACTAACTATATCGTCACCAGCGCTGGGGGCAATAAAAGGACCACACCGTCGGCGCTATTCTGGCCATTTCCTCGCGGAAATTCTGTCTTCTGACCCCGTGAGTGTGCCGTTCAAAATCAGGATAGACATCGATCTACGTGCGTGGCGTTAATCCTATCTCATTGGTTAGCCGTTTGCATCGGCCAACCCAGTGTTTACATCTCATGGACAATGCGCAACACTCCGTGGCTGGGTGACGTCACAGTCGGAAAGCCCGGCCCGCCGTTCGGATGACGTCACTCACGGAAAATCCCGGGGTTTCAATACACGCTGGTCCGATCAACGGATCAACGTCGGAGATGCAGGATCAGCGCGAACCACCAGACACACCGTCCGGCAGCCTGCGGGGTCCGCAGGAATATACGCCATACATACGGTCTTGGCGGCGGTGCAGGCTAGCGCAGATCGTGTAAATACTAGGTAATCCCAACGCGGAAAAACATCAGGGCCCTGCTTCACGGCCCGACGTTGCGGTACGCTGGCTGCGCTGCGCTGCTGCATTGGTATAGTGTTTGAAACGAATTCGGCTTGACGCTCCAGCGCTGCGAGTGTCCGAGTTTTTTTATGTTTCCCCTTATACACCGCTACGCATAGCGTGCTGCAGCGTAGTGTCGTGAAACAGAGCCCACCACCCAAGAGATGCATGCAGGATAATGGGTATATGGTATTAACATCATGGGAGATTGGACAATCAAGAATCAAAGCACATTATATAGGATCATCTAGGCTATGACACAATAATTCAATTTCTCTTGATTTCATTCATAACAAAGAGGCCACCAGACTGATATCCTTATATCATAATGAGGATGCAAGACAGATCTGGACACTGTACATTGTACAATGCAACTCCCCTGTGCATTGCTATACAAGCAGTACTGTAGTATGAAGAAAAAATTCAATAGATTATTTCACATCCCTGCTCTTTAACTGAGGGGGCATCTAAAATGTAAATCATCATCCTCAATTTACACTTATCACATATGCCCAGCCATACCTAGCACACACATGTAATTAAAGTAGGTTGTACATAAGTTGAAGCACTGGCAGAAATCACAAAAACTTTTGGGGCTAATGTTGAGCCTGGAATAAGCATTTTATAGCCAGGTACCTACTACCTATGTGTGTAATCAGCATTTTCGCAAACCAACAACATGTAAAATTGAAAGTGACACAGAATCATAACAAACATCACTGGGGTAAATGAGTAACCAGAATTTTAAGCTGAAAGTTGTATCTTCTCTAGTAATCAGACTACAGCATGGGTATTTTAAGCTGAAAGTTGTATCTTCTCTAGTAATCAGACTACAGCAGCTGTTGCAAAGCAAGATACTTGACTGTAGTGCCCTGCTCACTGCTCAGACTATTGACTATTAGATGATCATAAGCAAATATTTCATAAAAACATAACTATAAAATATACATAACAGATTCATGAGCAACTCATGGAATGTAGATGTAAAATTAAGAATCAACAACCCAAAGCCAAACATAGGTTCCTATCTAACACATTAGTGGTGTTAGTAAATTTCAGTTTGGGTTGCCTTTGGTAAATCTGAAAGATGCAACTTGCAAACAGCTTGAGATGAGTGGTGAAATCTGAAAACAGGGCGTCTGGGGCGACTTGATCAAGACTCTTGAAATTGTCATGTGACAACCCTAAGCTTCAAGGCAGCTTAAGGTGAGGAATTTCACAGGAATCACACGATGCCCTCCAGCGCCGTTTTCAGATCCCACCAGATAAGTGGTCATTTTTAAACAGTGACAGCCATTACCTTGCCACTCAAACTGAATCACTTCAACTGGCGCAATACCAAGCTAATGAATAAAGAAAAAAAACTGCACAAAAGAAGCAGGCGATTCGCTCCCATATGGTCTGGGTCCTAAACCTTCGACCTGAAATACCATTCAAGGCAAGGCAAGAAATTGAAATATCAAATAGGACTTGACTGTAGGACAATGGTTTTGTGCCGATTGTTCAGAAGCTCAGTGGCGGATCCAGGGGGGGGCAAAATGGGCATTTGCCCCCCCCAAACGGCATGATTTTAACATTACGCCTATGGACGATGCATGGAAAGAATCGATAAATTTTTATGGTTTGCCCCCCCCCCCCAAACCTCTGAGCTGGATCCGCCTCTGCAGAAGCTTCTGTTGTGGCATACGAACAAGAACGGATGGAAATCACTCACCTATTTACTCTTAAATGTGCAAAGACCGGACAGCTCTGTCACGGCGGTCACGGCCAACACCACATTCACACCACATCGACAAATGGATTGTTTTGGAAAGAGGGTTATGTCCCGTCGGCGCATGTAATGCCTCGTCAACCTAACAGCTGTTCACGTTTTTGCTACCATATGAGGCTTTTGTGGGGTGGTATTTAAATTCATTGACGTCCATCAATTGAGCAGCAGATTGATATTCGCGAATATCAAACTAAAAATTCGATATTCGGACGGGGAACGCAATAACTCAAGAACCAGTGAACCGATTTTGATGAAAATGCCCTCATTCGATTCCTCGTTCCTTATTGCAGGTTGACAGCGATTTCCAGGTCACAAGGTCATGACCTTCAAGGTCAGGGTCAAGGTCAAAGGACGGGGAACGCTCTACAGCCTTAAGTTACCGTCCAATTGACTTGTAAATGGTCTCAATCGATTCCTCGACCCCGATTCCAGCTTGACAGCGATTTCCAGGTCACTAGGTCATGACCTTCAAGGTCAAGGTCAAGGTCAAAGGACGGGGAACGCTCTACAGCCTAAAGTTACCGTCCGATTGGCTTGTAAATGGTCTCAATCGATTCCTCGACCCCGATTCCAGGTCGACAGCGATTTTCAGGTCACTAGGTCATGACCTTCAAGGTCAAGGTCAAGGTTCGCGAATATCAAACTAACAATTCGATATTCGGACGGGGAACGCAATAACTCAAGAACCAGTGAACCGATTTTGATGAAAAGGCCCTCATTCGATTCCTCGTTCCTCATTGCAGGTTGACAGCGATTTCCAGGTCACTAGGTCATGACCTTCAAGGTCAAGGTCAAGGTCAAAGGACGGGGAACGCTCTACAGCCTAAAGTTACCGTCCGATTGGCTTGTAAATGGTCTCAATCGATTCCTCGACCCCGATTCCAGGTTGACAGCGATTTCCAGGTCACTAGGTCATGACCTTCAAGGTCAAGGTCAAGGTCAAAGGACGGGGAACGCTCTACAGCCTAAAGTTACAGTCCGATTGGCTTGTAAATGGTCTCAATCGATTCCCCGACCCCGATTCCAGCTTGACAGCGATTTCCAGGTCACTAGGTCATGACCTTCAAGGTCAAGGTCAAGGTCAAAGGACGGGGAACGCTCTGCAGCGTAAAGTTACCGTCCGATTGGCTTGTAAATGGTCTCAATCGATTCCTCGACCCCGATTCCAGGTTGACAGCGATTTCCAGGTCACTAGGTCATGACCTTCAAGGTCAAGGTCAAGGTCAAAGGACGGGGAACGCTCTACAGCCTAAAGTTACCGTCTGATTGGCTTGTAAATGGTCTCAATCGATTCCTCGACCCCGATTCCAGGTTGACAGCGATTTCCAGGTCACTAAGTCATGACCTTCAAGGTCAAGGTCAAGGTCAAAGGACGGGGAACGCTCTACAGCCTAAAGTTACCGTCCGATTGGCTTGTAAATGGTCTCAATCGATTCCCCGACCCCGATTCCAGGCTGAAAGCGATTTCCAGGTCACTAGGTCATGACCTTCAAGGTCAAGGTCAAGGTCAAAGGACGGGGAACGCTCTACAGCCTAAAGTTACCGTCCGATTGGCTTGTAAATGGTCTCAATCGATTCCTCGACCCCGATTCCAGTGTGATAGCGATTTCCAGGTCACTAGGTCATGACCTTCAAGGTCAAGGTCAAGGTTCGCGAATATCAAACTAACAATTCGATATTCGGACGGGGAACGCAATAACTCAAGAACCAGTGAACCGATTTTGTAGAAAAGACCCTCATTCGATTCCTCGTTCCTCATTGCAGGTTGACAGCGATTTCCAGGTCACTAGGTCATGACCTTCAAGGTCAAGGTCAAGGTCAAAGGACGGGGAACGCTCTACAGCCTAAAGTTACCGTCCGATTGGCTTGTAAATGGTCTCAATCGATTCCTCGACCCCGATTCCAGGTTGACAGCGATTTTCAGGTCACTAGGTCATGACCTTCAAGGTCAAGGTCAAGGTTCGCGAATATCAAACTAACAATTCGATATTCGGACGGGGAACGCAATAACTCAAGAACCAGTGAACCGATTTTGATGAAAAGACCCTCATTCGATTCCTCGTTCCTCATTGCAGGTTGACAGCGATTTCCAGGTCACTAGGTCATGACCTTCAAGGTCAAGGTCAAGGTCAAAGGACGGGGAACGCTCTACAGCCTAAAGTTACCGTCCGATTGGCTTGTAAATGGTCTCAATCGATTCCCCGACCCCGATTCCAGGTTGACAGCGATTTCCAGGTCACTAGGTCATGACCTTCAAGGTCAAGGTCAAGGTCAAAGGACGGGGAACGCTCTACAGCCTAAAGTTACCGTCCGATTGGCTTGTAAATGGTCTCAATCGATTCCTCGACCCCGATTTCAGGGTGACAGCGATTTCCAGGTCACTAGGTCATGACCTTCAAGGTCAAGGTCAAGGTCAAAGGACGGGGAACGCTCTACAGCCTAAAGTTACCGTCCGATTGGCTTGTAAATGGTCTCAATCGATTCCTCGACCCCGATTCCGGGGTGACAGCGATTTCCAGGTCACTAGGTCATGACCTTCAAGGTCAAGGTCAAGGTCAAAGGACGGGGAACGCTCTACAGCCTAAAGTTACAGTCCGATTGGCTTGTAAATGGTCTCAATCGATTCCCCGACCCCGATTCCAGGTCGACAGCGATTTCCAGGTCACTAGATTTCCAGGTCACGATTTAAAGGTCATGACCTAGTGACCTGGAAATCGGTGTCAACCTGGAATCGGGGTCGAGGAATCGATTGAGACCATTTACAAGCCAATCGGACGGTAACTTTAGGCTGTAGAGCGTTCCCCGTCCTTTGACCTTGACCTTGACCTTGAAGGTCATGACCTAGTGACCTGAAAATCGCTGTCAACCTGGAATCGGGGTCGAGGAATCGATTGAGACCATTTACAAGCCAATCGCACGGTAACTTTAGGCTGTAGAGCGTTCCCCGTCCTTTGACCTTGACCTTGACCTTGAAGGTCATGACCTAGTGACCTGGAAATCGATGTCAACCTGGAATCGGGGTCGAGGAATCGATTGAGACCATTTACAAGCCAATCGGACGGTAACTTTAGGCTGTAGAGCGTTCCCCGTCGTTTGACCTTGACCTTGACCTTGAAGGTCATGACCTAGTGACCTGGAAATCGCTGTCACCCCGGAATCGGGGTCGAGGAATCGATTGAGACCATTTACAAGCCAATCGGACGGTAACTTTACGCTGCAGAGCGTTCCCCGTCCTTTGACCTTGACCTTGACCTTGAAGGTCATGACCTAGTGACCTGGAAATCGCTGTCAAGCTGGAATCGGGGTCGGGGAATCGATTGAGACCATTTACAAGCCAATCGGACGGTAACTTTAGGCTGTAGAGCGTTCCCCGTCCTTTGACCTTGACCTTGACCTTGAAGGTCATGACCTAGTGACCTGAAAATCGCTGTCATCCTGGAATCGGGGTCGAGGAATCGATTGAGACCATTTACAAGCCAATCGGACGGTAACTTTAGGCTGTAGAGCGTTCCCCGTCCTTTGACCTTGACCTTGACCTTGAAGGTCATGACCTAGTGACCTGGAAATCGCTGTCAAGCTGGAATCGGGGTCGAGGAATCGATTGAGACCATTTACAAGTCAATTGGACGGTAACTTAAGGCTGTAGAGCGTTCCCCGTCCTTTGACCTTGACCCTGACCTTGAAGGTCATGACCTTGTGACCTGGAAATCGCTGTCAACCTGCAATAAGGAACGAGGAATCGAATGAGGGCATTTTCATCAAAATCGGTTTACTGGTTCTTGAGTTATTGCGTTCCCCGTCCGAATATCGAATTTTTAGTTTGATATTCGCGAATATCAATCTGCTGCTCAATTGATGGACGTATTCATTGAGTAATTCCTTGAATATTTGTGAAGACTTGGCAAATCATGAAAAAATTAATATTTATTTTGTATTAAGATAATATTTTTTCTAGTTATGACGGATTAAACTGGAAAATTGAAAAAAGAGCACACGTATTTTCCCATTTTCGGCATCATATTTTACTGCATAACTAAAAAAAAAAACTTTCTAGTCTGAAATGAATATTTTGACGAGGCCTTAACCAAATATATTCAAAACACTTGACCAGGATAATGCCTTTTTTACAAATAATAGCCCGTAATCGATTACTCTGATGCTACTTATAAAGTTTATGACCAGTCATCATGCAAGAAGTCAAATAAATTTTATGGGAGAGAAGCTGGGTAGAAGACGCTTTTAGAAAAAAACTGCATCTTTACTAAAAAGGCTAGCATTTGGCAGCAATTAGTTTCGACAAAACCAACAGTGATGCGGCGTTTATGGCGTGTAAAATTTGCATTGAGCGACAGTGCGTGCAACGCTGTGGTTGGTGTTGGTACGTTGGGTTGAGGGGGTTAAAGCATTTCAATTTGTATTATTGCTAATTGAATACATCATTGAAGCTCAAACACATTGCAATTGGTTGACTGTCTTGGACTGCCGGGAAGTCAGTGTTCTGGGTGAAACAGAAGGTTATCGGTGCGGAAAAGTGAGCCTCAAACCACACCTTCTGCTTCTGCCCTGCACAAGTTGAAGTAAAGTGAAGTCAGTCACCTCTGCTGAAATTCACGTCTTATGAGATTAAGGTAAGTTCCAAAATGATTATTTTTCAATTGTATCATTTTTAAATATAAGTTGTATTTCAGAATGTTTTACTTTGCTCTTTAGCATGTAGCCAAAAATCAGAGTGATGCCTACCTATTACTTCATACCTACCGGTTGCGGCGCTCTGTGCAGTGTGCTGTGGCCTGAGAAGTGAGAAGAGGCTGACGTTCTGGGGTATACGCTCTGCTGCTCTGCTGTCCGGCCCTTGGCGCTGCCAGTCTTGACTTTGAGCACACGGCTCTGCCGTTTTTTGTGGCCCAGAACTCCTAGCCCTGGCCCTTGTTTTACGGCACAATGCTATAGTGAGCTGCATGATTCAGACGCTTAACCCCAGAACGCTCTGTGGTTGATATAGTCTTGGTCGGTAGAGGTATACGTGCTTCATGTAAAAGCGGTCTAATTTTGGTTAAAATAGACACCCAACTTTCAGCGCAAAGCATGCAGAAATTTCAGTGCAAGATTGCTTGCACTGAATACTGACACTTAAGG